CAGTACTTTCCAGGTTATAGAGGGACCAACAATTGAATACCCCAGAATGATAAGTCGGTAAAAACCACTTTTTACGAAAATCTGGTTTTTGCGCGATTCGAATCATGTAGACCTAATACACGTATTGGAGTGAGAATTGAACATATCCGCTTAGTAGTTTTACCAGTAGATGGCGCAAATATATATATCCATTTTTGTCATTGAGAATGAAAACTCGGTATATCCAGTTTTTACCCAGTTTTCATTCTAAGTGAAGTCTCTAGAGTGTTTGTTACTGCTTTGTTGTTTTTCACTGGTTGACTATTATTTGCTAGCATTTTCATGATGTCTAGTGAGAGTGATACCGAGGTAATGAGGGATGATTTAGACCCAGATTATAGTGATAGTGCTAATAGTAATAATGAAGTTGAGGAGAATAAAACAAGAAAAAGAAAAAAAAATAAACATCTCTGGAAAAGTGTTCAAAGGAAATCTAACCTCAATAAAGGACTAACGTACATATCTAAATCCGGAAAAAATATGCCTGCAAGGCGGGGTTATGAATGTGACTGCAAAAATAGATGTACAAGTAAAATCTCAGTCGAAAAAAAAGCAAACATTCTTGATAAATTTAACAACTTGGCTGATAAAAATGTGCAAGATTCATATCTTTTTGGATTAATAACAGTGAGGCCTGTTGCAAGGTACGTGAATATAAGTAACAAAAGAAACAAATAGGTAATTTTTTAATTTTTTTTCATTTATTTAGAAGGCGACCAGATATTATGAAAAAGCGACTTTATGGAAAGGGCCATCCGATTGAAGATATTTTAACTGATGCTGAGTTAATTCAAACATCAAAACGAAACTCATCCTTTCATTATAAGGTTAGTTGTTATGCAAATACTTATTTACTGATAGTAGGTATTTAACAATATTTTGTATTGTAGATCATATTGGCAGCTGGACGAGAACTAATGGTTTGCAAAAAAGCTTTAGCGAGGCTTTATGGTATAAAGTTTGGTAGGATTGATCGAATTGTGCAAGCTAAAAAAAGTAACTCGGCTCTTCCGACCGACAAAAGGGGTTTATCTGAACGATCCAGGGTACTTAAAAAACCAGAAGCTCTAATCCGACAAATTGAATCACATATAAATTCATTTCCTATTCGCATCTCGCACTACACCAGAAATAGCAGTCAAAGAAAGTTTCTTTCGCCCGACTTAAGTGTGATGAAAATGCATCAGCTGTACGTGGAAAAGTACGAACCGGAGAAATATCAACATTGGAAGGCTGATAACAAAACAAAATTTAAAATCAACTATGATTTTTATCTACACATATTTAACACCAAATTTAATCTTTCATTTGGAAAACCTAAAACGGACGTCTGCAATGCATGTGACAGATTCAAGAATCAAATAGATGCGGCGGAAAATCCAGAAGAAAAATCTCGGTTGAATCAAGAACACTCTCTACATCAAGCCAAAGCGTACAAATTTTACGACGACCTTAAGCGGTTCAGTGAACAAGCTAAAACGGACGAAAAAATGGATGTTATTAGCTTTGACTATCAACAAAATTTGCCAGTACCTGTACTTCCAATAGATGATATTTTTTATAAAAGGCAGCTTTGGGTTTATAACCAGTGTTTTTACTCGGAAAAAACGGGCCATTCTTATATGTACATGAAGTCGAAGGAAAAAAAGGTGCAAATGAGACAGTATCTTTTTTGAAACATTATGTAGACCATGCTGTTGATCCTTCAGTTGAGACCTTGTACTTATTCACTGATAACTGTGTTGGGCAAAATAAAAACATGGTTGTTGTTCAGATGTTATCTTCGTTGGTCGCCATTGGAAGATTTAAAATGATCTACCATCGATTTCCTGAAAGAGGTCATTCGTTTCTACCATGCGATCGCAAATTTGCTCTCATTGAAAAGGAAAAACGCAAAGTCACATACCTTTACTTGCCGGAAGAATGGTATTCAAAAGTTGCAAGAACCTCTAAAACTTTTACTGTTGTCAATGTACTGCCAAGGATGATAGGGGACTTTCGTTCATATTTCCAATCTTTTTTTAAAAAAAGCATAAAAAACTTTACCGTCTCAAAATACAAAAGTTTTAAATATGAGGATAAAAAAATCACCGTTTCTGTATGCCACAATATTGAAAGTCTAAACCAAACTTTCATTGCATTTAAATCTAACGCAGATTTACTTGCTTTAAAGGAATGGAATGTAGCTTAACTTCACACTGCAACCCTTCAGGTTAACCCAAAAAAACTTCAAAACTTAAAGGAACTTCAAGATTTCATTCCTGCAATATATCATGGATTTTATAACTCTTTGGAAACATCAGAGCAACAGCAGGAGGAAAGTGCAACCGACTGATCCGAGAGTAGTGATGAATAAAAAAAGTTATTGTTAATCTAATTTGATATTTTGTAAATACAGAATGACAACTAGGTATATCCGTCTTTTATTTATTATTTTTTTCTAATATAAGTAATATTAAACAAAAATATGAGCTCAAAAAACGTTTCAAAACACTTTTACTTTTAATAAGCATTTAAATAATAATTTGCAGGTAAAAGTACAACTAGTTTTATTAAACATGCTATTTTCATCTCCTGTAAAATTACCTTTTCGGTTTTTACCGAATTATCATTCTGAAGCACTCAATTTTCGGACCAACCGACTAAAATGAGTGACATGGTTTTTTCGTGATGTACATGTCATATAACATCCAACAAAGTTTCTTTAAGCTCCTCATAGCAATCGCGGTGCTCTGGCATTTAGGCTTCTGTCTGCGCGGCTGCTTCGGTGTATAAAAACATAATATATCGTTTTAGAAATTTTTCGCGGTCACAATAATACATTCCTTGGGGTCGAGGGGGGGGGGGTTATCAAGCCGAGAAACTGAGCACGAACATTGTGTACTCTTAGGATAAAGACGGGATAGCATGATGACCAAAAAGGAAAAGAGTCACAAATTTTCTTATAAAAATAATGCGAGGTTTGTTCAAAAAGTATCGCGAATTTAATGTTTTTCCAAGAATATCTATTTTGTCCCCTTCAAAGTAATCCCCATTAGACATTCTACACTTGTGATAACGTTTTTTCCAGATCTCAAAGCATTTTGAAAAATCATTTTTTGAGATCTTGTTCAGCTCTTCCTCCGATGCCGTCTTTATCTCCTTAATCGTGACGTAGCGTCGTCCTTTCATGCGCCTCTTCAGTTTCGGAAACAAGAAAAAGTCACAGGGGGCTTGGTCTGAGGAATACGGTGGGTGAGGCATTATTGGAGTGTTGTTTTTGGCCAAAAATTCGCGCACAAGTAACGATGCATGAGCAGGGGCGTTATCATGGTGCAAAAGCCAATTTTTGTTTTTCCACAGATCCGGCTGTTTCTGGCGGATTGCTTCTCGCAAATTGTGCATTACTTAAAAGTAATATTCCTTATTGACCGTTCTACCGTGCGGCAAGAACTCATCAATGTGTTCGTCTGTTGTTGACGTTCTCCGGCGTCCGGAACGCTTTTTGTCTCTCACATCTTCTCGCCTCTCTGAGGACTTTTTGTACCACCGATAAACGTTGCTTTTGTCTAAAGTAGCTTTGCCATATGCAAAAGTTAACATTTGGAATATATCCGCGTACTTCAACTTGTTTTTTACACAAAATTTAATACAAATTCTTTGATCCATTTTTTGGAATAGACAAAAATCGGACAAGCTAAAACACGTCCACGCACAATAGCTGTCAAAAACTGATTGAACGTTCAAAATGGCCAATATTGTCAAAATTAGTAAGGGTGATGAGTACCAACATAACGCCACTCAAAGATCGAAAATTGAACATACGTAGCCCGCGAAAATTCAAAATTTGCGATACTTTTTGAACAAACCTCGTAATAGATCATAGGATTCATGAAATTATAAGATAAAATAGATTTTGTTTTTTGTCTTTTTAGAAATACACCATTTAAAGTACTTACTGTGATTCGTTGTAAGTCACTTAAATTGCCGATTTTACGTTATAAACGTCATTCCAAGTGTAGTTTAGTTGTATTTCAAGTACGCAAGCTATAAAAACACCTGCTAAATTAGTTATTTTTAGCATACATAATTAATTCTATATTATGTCGAAGCGCATTTTCTTCTTAGAAAACTATGAGGAGCATCTAGAAAGTGTAGGATGCGTGCTATAAACATCCACATACAATTGCATAGTACATGATCCACAAAAATGCTGACAATTCAAGAACCAAAAATTTGAAGGCATTCATGCCCATAGATTAGAGCAAATATGCTTTTGAAATATCTACAGATAGATCCAATTCGACTGAAAGTGGGAAGAACTTAACAGCTTTAAATGGAACCCTGAATAGTCACTAGAAGTCAATCAAAATTTCTAGATTATAAGATTTAAGTACCATAAGCCCATCAAAATGCTCCATAAGGATGCCGTTATTTTGAGCAGTAAAAACTAACAGAACAAGAGAAGCTGTGAGGTTTGAGAATGATTGTGTACCTCCTCATGGGGAAGAATGTCAATATCAAGTACACGTGTGCAGAAACTGAAAGCATCCTCCAGTTTAGAGCACCACGCTTTTATTTTGGCTACATCAATGAGTTTCAAATAACAAAATTGATCTTTTAGCATTTAATTGCTCTACGTGTTCGAAATGAAGCAAGTTTTTGGAAAAAAAAAACATCAAAGCAACAAGTAGTAGACTAGAGAAACTTTGAAATCTGACGCGAGTGTAAGAAACCACCCGCTTTAGGAATTAATAACATAATTGAAATAGCAACTTACCTAAATGTCCCATAAGCGTGTCTATATCCTGCGCAGTGCTCATGTTGCTCTCTTAAACAATTCACAACTGATCACATATGTAAAAATTAAAAGTAACACGACAGAACAACGGGAAAGTAACAGGTCAATCCCGTCATTGGCGGGTCGCGACTGAGATCCGCGAAACCAAAACCATATATCTTTCACATTCAGTGGATACTAGTATAGCCGTCGGCGCCACGCGGTGTTTGCTTTTGACTTTCCGTCTCGCGGTTCGCCGTGTACCATCGAAACTTGGCATTTTGAGAGTGGGTCTACGGCCGTGATAGCATCATGTAGTGGGCTAGCCAAATACCTTTGGAATATGATACAGTTCCTCAAAAACAGAACTTGAATACATACATTTATACATTTTGCGTTAAAACATTGTTAAGCTTATGATTGTCCAAACAGTTATCGTGTAGTATTTATGCTAATAATCAGGAATCACGTCGAATTTCTTAGAAATTGTGCATTAATGTAGTGTTATTATCCTGGGACTCTGGGACGGTAGGACATATTTTTTTTTAATCCCACAGCGGTATCGACTCCTATGTTCATTAGGAGCTAACATAATTTATGAATGTTCTTGCTCATTTTGAGCGTATTTAATAAACATTCCTCATTTAATCTGTAATCAGAAAGCCATTGGGTGGTAGAATTCATAAAAATGCACAGAACAGTCGTATTTTATGAATTTTCGGTTACAAAATTTATTATTCCTGGTGAAGTAAAAAATTACTGAGAACACTTTTCCAAATTGCGAAAAGAACTCGACTGACTCAAATGAAAATTGTGAAGCTAATATTATTGGTATGGTCCGATCCTGGTTCAAACATTGTGCATAATAATAATAATAATAGAACAACAAGGGTAAACTATACTGGGATCGCGCTAATCATTGTCGGTAAGAGCGCACAGAAAGTATCACTAATTGATGTCGCCGTACGTAACAGTAACAACCTAATAAACAAAAATAATGAGAAAGCTGCAAAAGACAGTGAGGTAGAATTTCAAATTAAACGCCAGTTGAAAATAAAGTGCTTGGGAATAATACCAATAAATAATGTCATCTACAGGGGTGATACCAAGAAGTCTGCTGGAAAACATCAAAGCGCTGGAACTGAGGGAAAACGTCTACAAAATCATGCAGAAAGGAAATTAGATTATAATAATAATAATAATAATGATAATGCTAATAATGTTTATGTAATTATTACAAATAATACAAGAAAATATATCAATGATCAAGAAATACCCAAAAAGTATGAACTTGTGATTAAAATATAATAAATCAAACTTGAAATATTTTAAAATACAAAAAAGATTTTTTGTTTTGGTCATATGTGTAATTTGCATATCTTTAGTGATAATAATAATTCAGTCATAGGACATATTGGTTTTTGATGTCTATAGACGAGTTTATTATTAAATACTCTTGGATGATACACGATTTTAATTCAATTTTGGTACGTTTATTGGAGTGAATAATATTATAAAATTTTGGGCCTAGAAAATAAAATGATCGTTGACTTAAAGTTTGATTTAATCTGGGTATAGTAGCTGATGTGGTTTTGAATCTTGTTTGATGATTGTGATCTTTACACCTTAATAAATTTGTATGTTTAGTTAAAAATATGATTGTATTGTAGAAATTCAAACATTTTTATTCACTATAAATATTGTCCGTTGGATGTAATTTGTTTTAGTCAAACATAATATTTAACATCCTCTTCTGAGTCCATAAGAAATAAGTGGGTAGATCAGTTCATGATAAATCATTTATAGATATTTCACGTTTAGAAAACTATTGAAATATTTAACTCTTGGAATAAGATGTTTTAATTTTTTTATCAAGTTTTCAACATGTATATTCCACGTTAAATTATTTTATCCTCAAGTATTTGATATTATATACAGATTTTATATATTTGAGGCCATCTGGTACTTGAATTTTGAATTTAATAGAGGGTGCAGATCTCTTATCATAAGACAACCTTATAAACTGTGTGTGGTTAAAATTAATTGTCAAAATTCTTTCGTGGAAGAAATGCATTATCCTTTGAAAATAATATTCAATTTTGTTCTCTATAGAATTCCAATCATTATCTGAATACATAATCGCCGAGTCACAGTTCCGTATGGAACTCCATACCTAACTGCAACGTCTTCACTTAGAGAGTTATTGATACTAACATATTGTCTTCTTTTTTATAAATAAGTAAATATAAACATTCCCGAGCTTTACAGCCATGTCGTTGAACCTTCATGAAGTTGGTGAAGCAAACTGATTTTGGCGTCTAGAAAATAAAGTATAGCTTAAAAAACTAAAATACGTGCTTTGATAGAAAATCGAACTGGAAAGTATAGAATAATATTCAAGTATAGGAGAACCTGTATTACTGCAATAGAAAGTCCACCAATTAAGTATTACTAACTTAATTTTAATACAAAAATTAAGTTATCTATTAACAAAAAATCAATCATAGTAAAAAAGCGTGGGGTGCTTGATGTCAATAAATGTAAGAATTATTTTTTTAGTGGCTATTTACAAATTATTTCTTAGTGGCTATTTACAAATGTGCAGTTATTATGAACATATAGTTAAGTGCAGCCCACGTTTTTTTACTATAATAGATTTTCTCTGTTAATATCTTAAATTTGATATTCATCTTATTCCAAAGTAATTTACCATACTTGATTATTGACTTTCTATTGCAGTAACACTACCTCTCCTATACTTGAAAAGTCTCAAAACAACAACAAATGTACTTATAATAAAAAACGGTCGACCCTTCTATAGGTCTGATAGAAAGGTAAGGCTCTCTCTCATACAGGGGGGTGTGCCCGGTTCCCTGAGGTCGAAGCTAGCGACATGACATTTTTGATCATCCTCTTGCCATTCGTCCCTCGGCACGTTTCTCACCTCATATTGGATTGGGCGAATTTAAATTTTCTAATTTGTTACAAAATTATTTTTTTCCAAAATTTACATTTTTTCAATTTTTAAATTCAAATTTCTTTCAGAATTTCAAAATTTCTATAATTTACAAATTTTCCAAAAGTTTTGTAAATTTTCTAATGAACATATTTTCCAGATTTCAAAATTTTTTTTTTAATTTTCAGTTTCGATTTTTTTTCTAGATTATTGTATTGTCATCGGCCCTTGACCTTCATGTAAATTTTCAAGTTAATCACATTTCTTGAAATTGGTGAAAATTAGGTTGAAAGATTCCGTTACATGCACACAGGACTAGCTAATAATAAAAGCGTGTTAAAAACGGTGAGCATTGACCTTAGTACTGCTTTACTAACGATAATTTTCCATTACAACAAATTTTTCCTGCGAAGACGCTTGTTAGGGTGGAAACGTTTGCAATTTGTTCAGGGACGCCCGCCAGGAAATGCCACGGGGGGCCAAGGGCTGTAGAGAAATCTGATAATGCTGTGTACAGACTACAGAGTGTGCGATTTACGTATGCCTAATTATAAAAATTGAAATTACGGAAGATGAATAGTAGGGAATAATGTGATAAAAGCTTAATTTCTCTAATTTATATGGTTTAATAATTGCAATTATAGAAACATTTATAATAGAAGAGACATTATGAATTTTCTATATTTTTCTAACATAAAACAAATTCTAGCAGCAGTAATATTTCTTTTCAAAATTATAATTTTTCGTTGTTTTGTATATCAATTTACATTAAGAAGAATCGTGCGGTTGATTTCGGTTAGCTTTGTGGCCGCGTAATACCAGTAACCGACCATGATTTTGATAAAATTTGTTTGGAGCCATAGTTAATATCACTCTACTTTTGGACCAAACGCGATTCAAGAGAAAGAGGAAAAAAGCATGAAACTAAAACTTTTTAACCCACCTCTAAACATTTGAGTATTTTTTCGAGTCCCGTTTTCAGAATTCGAGATATTTACTAACAGGCTAGAAATACTGACATGGAACAAAAAATAATAAATTCGATTTAATCCACCCAGCCTACGTTCCAAAATCAAGAAGGGGCTCCGGGGGGTGTGCCATCTGAGAAGGTTTGCTACCCCCGTTCTTCAAGCTCTTCCATTTTTATGGAAGGTACACTTTGCTGCGGGCGCACAAAAATATGTTGCGAAACAAGCAAACCTGCACCAGATGACTGCAGCGCACAGCATGCCTTAACATAAGCAGCGGAAATTTCAGTATCCATTAGACCATGGACTTTTCTGATTTCTTGGATAATTTTGAACAGGAAAGATCATAAGTAACTTTTCCCTACAGTTAGTCGTGTTCGATTTAACGTCTGAAAAACCATAAAAACGGTCGTCTTCAACGTTTGTTCATACAGTGGTCGGTGACTGTGTCTGAGATCCGGCCGTGTAAATTCCATCTATACGTATAGCGTAGCAGAATGAATAGAATTTGTGTGGCGGGATTTTGGACACGATCACTGACAGGTTAGCGACAGCTGTACGAACAGGGCTTAAAAGCTCAGTTAAAATCATTATTTTTGAGGTGGCCAAGTATCTAAATTAAAGCTAAAGTCCTTCCCTACAAGACACTAAAGATTATTTTAAGATCAATTCATTTTAAAATAATTTTTGAGCTCGTTTGTTGACGAACTTTTAATTTTCGCAGACACCTTCATTAAATTGAAGCCGAAACCAATGATTTGTTTACAGCAAACTGTATCGGCAGTCAACTTTTAAAATATACAGGGCATCAAAAAAGTGTTCTTATCCAATTGCGCGCCCTTTCTGAGTTATCGTCATTTTGAAGAGATTTGAAGATTTCGTCGATTCTCGGCTTTCCTATTCTTATTAGTCTTCTAGGCATTTCTTGAGTACGATAGACCGCAAAATTTCTCTATCGGGATATCGGTTTCGATATTCTTCAGCAGCAAGTCGAGCACTCCCATTGCAGAATCCATGAATAAAGAGCATTTCTACTTAATCTTGCGACGAGTACAGCATCTTGATTAGAAAGCGCACTGTGTACGGCATTATCTCCGAAACCCTTTTACAGTATGGACGTTAGTTAATAACCTAGGATAATAATAATCCTATACATGTTATACTTTAAAAGGCTATAATATCAGGAAGACTTTTCTAAGTAGGGGTTGTTTATCTGTCTACTAATTTTTTCTACCGGCATACTTGAATATGCTGTAACATTGAGCCACAAAGCCGACCCCCTGAATACACTCTTGATCTTTATAACCATGCAATGTTTCATAAGTAAATAGAGCCGACCGACTAAAAATCAAGAGGCAAACGCCTAGTTAAATTCAGTGCCAAATACTTGAGACGTTTCCTGGGTTAACTTTAGAACATGTGTTTATAGATTATTATTATCTATGGATACGAAATTAGATCGACCCAAAAGCTTTTCATAGACATAGGAATATTCCTATTAAGAGTGTCTTATGTTGGTTTAGATATACGAGGTGGAGCCGGAAGATCATTGAAATAAAAATCCGATGGAGCAGTTGAATATGCTGTAACATTTAATGGAAAATGATGGTTTTAAACCTTAAATGCTTGTAGTATTTTTTTTGCTATATGACAAAATTTAAAAATAATTTACATATTTGTTTGGAAACCTACTAGAAACAAGAAAGAAATGTCGACAAGCAGAACCTGTTTCTTGTTTCGTATCAAAATATACGTAAGGTACTCCAATTAAAAAAAGTCTGTCTAATTTGTTGCTTCGGTAAAGTCGCTGGATAGCTCGACAAAAAATACCATTAGCCCCGAAAAAATAACATCTAAATTTTTTTTAATGTCAAGAATATATAATAATACCTTTGTAACACCCTTTGATACAATTTTTTCTACAGCAGTGTTTATTTTTGGCTAGTTAACTCTGATCAAATAAGTTTTGTGATGCTTTCAGATAACACACACTGAGAACAAAATTTGTCTGACGGCTTGAGTTCAGTGTGTACGACAGATAAGTGTATATAGACACATATGTTAGAAAGAGTTAGAAGCCAACTGGATACCGAAGCTCATTACCGCGTTGCCTAGCAACGCTCATGCGGCAGTTTGTCGCGTTGCCAACATGTTAAACCCGTTCCTTGAATTAAGAAACATGTTGAAAATATGCGTTAGTTTATTCCCTACGCCCAAATAATGGTTTTATTTTGAATGTAAAAATTTTTGAACTGTGAATGGTGTCGAATCTGTTTAGGATCGGTTCCGGATCGCTCCTAACGGCGCTCCATTTTAGAACGAAATGAAAGGTCGCGATCGCCACAAATTCTGCAACATTGCATGATTGGTTCGCTTGGCAACAGCGCATCTCGTACATTCCAAGGCAAGGTTTCCACCTCCACGATCATAGATGTGCGATACCCATCATTGGGGAGTGTCGTCCTGTTTCGAAATAATTTGTATTCCGTAATGGTATTTTGTTACATTTTCCGATCGCTCCTTATCGCAATTACCCAGGATGTGTTGATTTTATCGCCATAGGTGGAAATCAAAGCTAATTCTACCGTAAATTGCAACTCTAAGTCGCATCAAAATTGAAATAAACAAATCTGACAAAACATTAAGTTAAATGTTCGGCCAGACCTCCTTCTTGGGTTTGTCATTAACCTAACCTATTGTAGAAGCCAGTGCGAACATTTTCTGGTGAACATATTGGCAACGCGCTGGTTTGCGCAACCTTCTACGTCACCACTGCTAGCCAATGTGGTGATGACCTTCGCTCTTCAGGCGACTTGTGTATCTTTCTAACATGATGTATTGATACACACTTCTCGCTCTTCTCTCTCGTGCACATTTAACTCAAGTGGTCAGACAAATTTGTGTTTCTCAGTATATAGTATTGCAATAGCATTGTTTCCCGATTTTTCAAGCAATTTCCAACGATCGTGAAAAAAATATACAATAAGGTTTAAAAAAGGCTGATGTAGATTGACTCATTACTTCTTACACGCTTTTCATATAGACAAATACTGTTTATTTCAATTTGAAAACTGGTTTTCGCTATATTATACATTTTTTTAATGCTTTAAAAAACTCTTGGCTATGCCTTAAAGTATAAAGAATAGGTGAATTCTCAGATTTAAACATTTAAATTAGGCATCAATAATACCCATAAACATTTTGTTGAGAAGTCGATAGCTTGGCGCACATAAATGGTAGATGTATCGCATGCAAGCTGATACATCTGGCAACGCTGAAATGAGTATCTCATTGGTCCATCTCTCTACCTCAAAAATGACAACTCGGCACCTACCCTAACCTTATTTTATAATTTTGTTTATCAGTAAAAAGGGTTCGGATTTTTTCACAGGTATTTTTATCCATTTTCCAAATAGCGAAATAGAGATGTCTACGGGTGTTGCGGACTCAAAAAACAAGTATTCCATATTACTTCCAACTTACAATGAAGTGGAAAATCTACCCATTATAGTATATCTTATCATAAAATATATGAGTAAAAGGTGAGTGGATATATAATTTAAATTACACACTGAGTAAATCTGTCATTCATTAAGAATAAGTAAACATACATCAATATTCACAAAAATTTACAAATTCTACATTTTTAACAGACCACCTACTGGAATTCCTGTCCAAAGTATTTCAGCCAAATAAATATCAAACATATATGTAAGAACTGAGTGTAAGATACATATCAAGCAACAAGGCTGATAAGAGAGTTTTCCACCTTCTCCCTACTACTTTTACTTTGGAACATTTTTTGAGGAGCAAAAGGAAATGCACATCACACCATTTTTCTGCTAGATGACTGGGTTATGCCTACATCTTTGTTCTGCACTCAGTCATGATTTTCCATTGTATAATGTGTCAGACATTTGATTCACACATAATCTCACCTCACTTCAGCTCATTGAATATTCCTTTTACCGAATCTCAGTTTCTCACTTCACTCGCAAACCAAATGCATGAGGTCAACACCTGATCAAGAAGTGACATCTTTGTAAGTCTACCATTGGCAATAATGATGTAGAAACAGTTAATGTAGTTTAGTTAAAACCTCTTCAATATTCTCTTACCTGACTTCAAATAGAGTAATGATTATAGACAGCTATATTACTTGTATCTCTTTCCTTTTGTACATACAAGCATTGTTAGAAAATATGAATCCTTTCTTATCATATCTTTCCTTTGTGACACGCTTGTTCTATCATTATTCAATTACTGTGACTCAGTTTATGGGCCTTGTATAACAAGGTATGATGTTGATTGTATACAGCGTGACCAAAACTCTTGTCTTAGGTTTATTTTTGGAGTGAAAAAATTCGAACATTTTATAAGTTACCTGTAATAGGATGGCTAAATATGGAAGCTAGAAGAAATTTGCACTCTGCAGTTTTGTTTCATAAAATTATTCCATATAAAACTCCACCTTGTTTATATAATAAAATTACATTTCAAAGTGATGTTCACAATATCAATGTTCGGTATCGGAAGCTTATTTCCCAACCATGGCATCGTACATCTATGTTTATTTCTATTAGATGAATTGTAGAGTTTATATTGTTCCTCTTCATTTTATATTTTAAATGTTTTTTCTTTTTTTTCGTTTTTTCGTTAAATTATAGTTTTTATATAATACCTTTAGATAAATATTTTTTTTTGACGTTTGTAATTATTATCTATTAATTATTAATATTAACTTATATAATTTGGTTAAGAACTCCTGTGTTGTAATTTTGTTTGTTGGGCTAGTACTTTGATCAGCTCGTCTATTTACTAGTCCCTTTTGCAGAGAATTCATGTTGTTTCCTTTTCCTTCCCTTTTTTTTTGCTCTGCAAATAACCGCTATTATTATTATTACTCTATAGCATACAAAATATGATTGTGTCTACAAATCTGGCATTACAGTTCCATCAGAATTGTATGTCACTTGTTGATATGGGATATTTTAGAATAGGGCCATCTACCAAACGTGAAAATAATGGTGATCTATATGCTTTTAGATTCTGAAGAATTTGCTTACAATCCAAACAACCCTGACATTGTTAATAGCTGAACATAAATCCTACAATGATTGTTTTGTGCATTTATATCTGATATCTTTAACTTTTAATTTCTTATCTCTCTTTGGTAGAATAATGTTTTAACAAGTTTATCTAAGACATAGTGTAATAAATTAGTTGATATGCATTCGTAAAAGGAAAAAAATGCGAGCAGCATTTCCTAGATATGGCAGGTTCAAGGATACAGGCAGACATATGATTCAGGATCACAAGAAACATCACACAAACAAATCTCATTTTAAATATTTTACATTATATTACTTCCTAGCCAGTGCAGTGGTGTGGAAAGTAAATCCAGCAAATGTAGACCTTAGACCCAGTAGTTGAGTAATGCACAAGAAAGTCACAGTCTTAAATATTTTAGTGTCTACGATTTTGAAATTATTGTGATTGATGATGGCAGTCCAGATGGCACATTGGAAGCAGCACAACAACTACAAAAGATTTATGGTGAGGACAAGATAGTATTAAGGCCAAGAGAGAAAAAGTTAGGTCTAGGCACAGCTTATATCCATGGTATTCAACATGCTACTGGAAACTTCATTGTCATTATGGATGCAGACTTGAGTCATCATGTAAGTATGAAGTATTGCAATGAAAAAGTAAGGAATAGTGTTCATGTAAAAGCTCTGCAGGTATTAGCTGGGTTTACCTATTCAACTTCATCACTCTTCTTATGTCATTTTCCCATTTGATAGAATCCACTGCATAGTTTGTGTTTTCTTACATTTCATGTCATGTATTCAGACGACTTGACTGCTTAATGTCACAATTACTTCCATTGAGATATAGCACACACATTGCAAAATCTGGCTGTTCATTTAGCCACTGTTGCCATAAGAGCTAATGATGTTCCATAGCACGTGTTTCTAGTAGTAAAACAAAGTTGAGGACAGAACAGTTTCACTTGCCATTTGAGTTGTTTTGCTAAATAACTATGTCAGATTTATAATTAATGTGATAATCCTTCTCAATTCCAGCCTAAAGCTATTGCAGAGTTCATCAAAAAACAAAAGGAAAAGGATTATGACATTGTATCAGGGACAAGATACATAGGGGCAGGTGGAGTATATGGTTGGGATTTCAAGAGGAAACTTGTTTCAAGAGGTGCTAATTTTCTTACACAACTCTTGCTGAGACCTGGGGCTTCAGACTTGACAGGCTCATTTAGGTTGTATAAAAAAGATGTTTTAGAGAAACTTATCAAGAGTTGTGTTTCTAAAGGGTATGTTTTTCAAATGGAAATGATAATCAGAGCAAGGCAGTTAAATTATACAATAGGTGAAGTACCTATAACCTTTGTGGACAGGTTATATGGGGAGTCGAAGTTAGGAGGTACAGAGATTATACAGTTTGTAAGAGCTCTTTTGTATCTGTTTGCCACCACATAATTTGCTTTTAACATTCATATTTTGCCTTTATTTGTTGTAGGAAATATTTGTATCTGTAAAATACATTGAACATTGAAACATTTGTTTATTTATATAAATGGTCTATTTCAATTTTTGTTTACATTGCATTATATGATTTAATATTATCATAACGACAGTGATGTCCGATGTTACTCCCACTAGGCGGTGGTTGAGGTTTAAAGCTGTCAAACATAGATGGGGAAAAAGATTCGATAGACACGTAATGGGAGAAAGATTTGACAGAAAAATAACATATTGTTCACGTTTTTACGTCTATTGACGTAAATAGCTGATCAGTAGTTGACATGTTATAGATTACGAAATAAGATAATGATGCTGTCTTATAGAATTTTATATATCTTTATGAGCAGACATTAAGATATAAAATTATGTAAATACATATAATGATAATACTATTTAATATAAATAATACATTTTCATAAATACCTAAAGCTACTATTTACAAAGTCATTATACAACCTTCACATTTACTGCTGCCGTTTTCTGTTTATCTGCAACTTGCAGTATATTAACAGTAGTAGTATTGATAATAAAATTATGTTTACAAACTGGTGCTCTTACACATTCCATATGTTAAGTCTTAAAATTAAATAAAAGTTCTATTTACTTCTTTTACGTTCTGTTTATGTACACCTCAGTCCCCAGGCTGTAAAAATCCAAATCATTTCATCAGGATCTCCCGACTTTTAATGAAATGCACGAACCAGAGTGATTTCTTGAAAAATTGTTGAAAAAAAGGCTCATCAAAGGGAGAGCAGGCATTAGGAACACTCCTCTTCAGTGGTCCGGTGAGTCGGGGTTATGTGAGCTACTCGGAAACGCTTAGCATAGATCCTCAAAGCAGAGAGTAATTATATGAAGAGAGAAGGCGAATAAAATTAGAGAGAGATAAAAGGGGACTCCACAAACATGGCGTTCCGAAAACAGCAGATGGCGTCAAATCGGAGATAAATGTGGTGTTGCCAGATAGATCATTCTTTTTGGATGAATTTATTGACCATCAGTTGAAGTGAATGCATTTTTTCTTGAACTCCACTTTTGTTTGAACATTCATTCATGGTGGGGATGTTTATCATCCATTTGCAGCATACGGAATATATTTATCAAGTTATAAATCACGTTTTTCGCGAGAGAAACTTTAGTAACAAAAAATCACGCCAGCTTGAGATTCTAGTTTTCTAACCTCAAATTGCTTATTTGACTAATCGTCGATATATTTGAAATGATCGCTAGTTATCTAGCCAGTTTGGCCTTAAGGCGAGTATTTATATCCTATGAATTTTTGACGTAACCAACAATAGCGTGAAAAGAGCTGAACTGCGTTTACCGTAGCGTTTTATAAATTATGGCAGTTTGGCAACACCGTCTCGGTACATTCAGAGCCCTCTATACGCAAACCGCCAAGCTAAGGATCATCCACACACAGATCGCTGTTTTATTTACAAACCAGTAAAGTCCACGAGCTGACCACAAAGTTTTGGTTACATCGCATACTAATTAATATGGAATGTTAAAAACTAATCAAATCCTATGTATTTTGGTGCTCAACAGCAAACTCGGCAAGTTTGCTGTTTAGCATAAAAATATGTAAGATATCGAATCAACGATCGGCTTCCCTACTGTATAATGCAGATGACCCCCAAGATCGATGGGGCCGACCGGCGGATTATAAAAAAATTCCGCGAAATGTCTTCTCTTGATATAACTACTTTTTGCTTAAGAGGTTATTTTTAACACGACTGTGATCATGGAAATCGTAAATAAACATCTAAATAGAGTCTAGGATTGATCATTTTCTTGGAAAATACGTTAATCAATGGCCAATTGTATGAAAAAACACATATAACGTTTGTCTGTCTCCATAAATCCACTATTAGATGAGGTAACTTCTTAGCAAATGAATCCCCGATAAAATATGAAATTAAGGTCAAGCAATAAAGACATTCATACTTCATTCATTCTTAGGCACAATATTTTAAAATGCTAAAATAAATACAAATAGATGCACTCCAAAGTCAGTTCTTGTGAGTCTTCAGATGCCTCACTAAGTGCGCCTTTTGTGAAAATCTTTTGTGGCAATACTCGCAAAGGTATGCTTTTTCGCCGGTATGAACCAACATATGCTGGTACAGTTGACCTTTCGTGGAAAATGCCTTAGTACATTGATCACAGTGATAGTCCTTTACTCCAGTGTGGATCTTCGTGTGGGTATTCAGATTACTAGAACTAGCAAACCTGTATGGGAACATAGTGAGAAGTCGTCAAATTAGTTACCTGATTGATTATACCCGTTTTACAGACAGCAAGACAAATGTCGACCAGACAGACGCGCACTAAGAAAACAGCGATTGAAACTAGTTTTTGGATATTGATGTGTTTTGAATGGTAAAATATCGTAACCAAAATAATAGGCTAGGAATGTGACAGGGAACACTTCATTAGTTTAGATTTTCTAACTTTACCCATTTTAATCGACGAAACAGGGGGCCGTCTTACAACTGCAAGTGGTTGGATACAACTGTCTTGCAGACAAAGCAATACCATCTTACAACTGCAAGAGCTTGCATGCATTCGTCTTGCGGACTGTAAAACGGTTATTATTGATAGATCCATTAATTGGTAGAATCTTGAAATATTGTACAATAATCAATGTCAATATACGTTTCAAATTCGACTCTCACCATTGAGTCTCGGAGTAAGAGAAAAGATGATCAGTCAAAGAATGCATACCGTTTATGACAATATGTGCACCCGTAAGGTCGCTCCGATGTATGTATTGCGATTGTGTGTTTGGTCAGTTGCTGAGCAGTAGCAAAAGCCTTACTACATGCGGCACACACGTGGTTTTTTTCACCAGTATGCGTACGCATGTGCGTGTGCAAATGACCTCCGTTTATAAATCGTTTTTCGCACAAGTGACAAACATATGGCCGCTCGCCTAAAAAGCAACAGGATAATCAGACATACTATCAGCTGAAAAAAAATATATAATAGGGTTGGGCTAATTGTTGCATATTAGCAGTGTTGCTGAACCTACCGCTTTTCCGATATTTCCACCGAAATGAGACATTTACGAAAAACTGAATAGGTCCCATTTTCCACGGTTTTTTAAAATATATCAGATATTATATATTTGTTATTGAAAAAGAGCTGTAACCAAAGATAAAGCTAAGCAAATGAGTCCTATGCAGTTTTGTAATCAAAAGCAACCAGCTACATGAGCAACATAGATTTGGGTTTCCTATAATTATGTACGCATAACTGTCACTCCGCTTCCTGCACTTCTATCGTATCTATCTTAATTCATTGAAAACTAAATTAAAATAACAAGTGATGAAGTGTCAGTTTCAGGGGTACACAAAAAACATTCATAATCCTATAAACAAGAATGAGAACAGAAGTTTCCAGGATCTTTGCAAAGGAGTTTGAAGAGAGACCAGTATGGTCATCATACAAATTTTAAAACTAAAAATAGTAGCCTAACGTTAAATTATATATTTTATGTGTCAAGGCAAACAAAGGACATGATTTTGATATAAATGTGTACTTGCTACTTCGAAAGTTTAAAAAAAATAGATACATTAGTTTGTAAGTCCTTACATGTACATTGTATATACATAATGTGGTCAATAAATGGTATGGTATAATTGTTCAGAAATATACCATATTCTGAATTTTTCTGCCTACTGATATTGTCATCGAATCTTCCAAATTTAAACAACACTATCGCCCGTGTTGCGATTATCGGGTCGGCAACTCTGCTTATTAGGCACTATTTTACCATATGGATTAAACTGAGATCAGTAATGGTAAATTAAATGTAACCAATGACTGTTCAATGTTACTGGACGTAGGATTTGTGCTGGACGTGAGACTGGAACTAGCTAAAATCTAAATGTGAAAATGCATTTTACCATAATGGGATGGATGTGAGAGAAAACCAACAAAAATCTATTAACTGAAAGAATGTAAATGGAACAAGAAACAAGAAGTGTTATTTAATCACAGAGAAAAGTCTATTTCTGTGCATGTGACAATTGAATGTTGTGTAACGTTCCAAAACTTATTACTACCATATGTCAACTAGTGCTTGGTTATAAGCTTACCTGTATGAATACGAATATGATGCACAAGACTTGGTTTTGTGCGAAATATTTTACCACAGGTGTCGCATTGATGCTGTTTCATGGGTTTTTTGTTGTTAACTGTAACATCTTTTTGTAGATTTTCATCAGTGGTGATTGTAATGCTTTCTATCTAAAGGTTAACATACAAAAATTAGAAATATTGTGTATCTACGTAATATTTAGGGTGTTTCAACTCTCACTATATATAGCACTATAATAGGATCCCAGAAACAGTAACATATACAAAGTAATTTAAATGGTGATAAAGCTGCATACTTAGGTAACTAAAAAAAAAATTTAAAGTTTTGCAGTTCAGAGAATCTATAGTTTTAATTTTTTTCTGACTTTGAGATGGGATTTTAAAGTAACACGCACATTCACATTACCCTTTTTCCTCATCTACTAGGAGGTATAATTAGAATCTCAGTAAGGCATTTTTTCTGTCTTCAATCATCACCTTTATTTTTTCTTATGGATGCAATATTGAATTTTTGAACATGTGAATATATTTTTTACCTCAAATTTCAGAAATGTAAAGATTAGTATTTCGTAAATAGGCCTTGAAATTATCAGTTAGCTTCATATCATAAACCAAGAATTCCTTCATTTTTTAACAAAGTTAATGATTGCAGACTAAGAGCCGTTTTACACACAAGAGAATTACTCCGAAAATTATGGACATAATTATGCCGAAAATTTGCATGGAAAAAATATGAAGATTTTCTCTACAACCTGTATGACACAAGCAAACAAAATTTCCGAGTAATTCATATGATACGCCTGCGCATTAGGGTAATATTTTCGAATTGTCATAACCTTAACGGGTATGACGTCCAAAATAATCGGAAAGACAACAGACGTATATGATTTAAATTTATTCTTGAAATCGAGATCTTGGTTAATATTATAAAACTTCTCAATGCTTGGACTATCGCATCCAGCGCCTGACGCCGCAAATTTCTGTTTTTGTAATTGGGTGACTTCACCTGCTTGTACAGGTTTGCCCATTTTTGGTACTCCTACAACAACAGTGTAACTTCTTCCTGATTCCACATTATGAATAAACAATAACAATAAACGCTTCTTCGTAGTACGACTCGAACAGGACCATACCCACAAATAGAAGGGTTTATCTCTGCACAAATGTTAAGTGGGGTTATGTTGTTGACGTTGACATTTGATAATGACATGCACGGAAATAACCCTCTGCGCCGATTCTCGCGCATATTCTATAGAATGGGTTTTATATTTTTACCATGAAAATTTTCACAAGAATTCTTTTAGGTGTAATACGACAGCAAAAATTTTCGCATAATTATAACCATAATTTTCGGAGTAATTCTCTTGTGTGTAAAACGGCTCTACAAAGGAAATGCAATATTGAAATTCTAATTATGCAAGCCTATTGTAGGGGAGACAGTGGTTGGTTTCAAATTCCATCTAATATAAGGATAAAATAAAAAAAAACATTTTGCAAGCATACCTTTACCCAAACATGCAACTTTTCCCTCATGTAACTGACTTCATATCTTTTACTATTTTGAAGATCAATGGTGAGAGCCAAATTGAAAGCTCTCAGTATAAGCTTAATATGTATTATTCCATCCAATAACAATATGCTACACCTTGAGATATAATACATTTGCCACATACAGTTGTGTCCACTTTTCTTGGTCATGCAAGAATGAAAATTTCACCTTGATCAAAACACTTTAAAAAAGATGTTATAATATGGTTTATAAAAACCTAAAAAATACCTTTAATGGCTCCTCTGGGTTCAAATCACTGAATGCAGGCTTTAATTCAGAAACACTGTTTTTATGAATCTCATACAATGATGAATTTGGCTCTAACTGCACAGTATGCAAAATTTGAATCCCACTTGCCTCATCAATCTGCTCTGTTGTATCTATTGTCAGTTTGCCATCCAAATTTGTTGTGCCTCTGTCATTGTTTGGATCACAAATCATTTCATCAGTTGAAGACTGCATGTCTTTTTTCATTGTTATGAAACCCGATAAATTGGGGGCAGAGGGCAAGTGTTGAAAGTGTGCAAAACATTGTCGAAGCTTAGCATCTGAGCTTTCACACTGAGTTTTAAACTGGAAGGCAATGTTTAGTTTGGAGATGCACTTCTGGCAAATGTAAGTAGGTAGACCGTCGCCTTGCAATACCTGCGATTCAGATAAATTATTCGATAACGGCACTTTTTGAAAAACAAGTTTGATGTTACCTGCACAGCAGCACAAGCCATGATTAGAATAGAAAAATGAGGTGGCTTTACTGGGTCAAATATTGGCATAAGTTTAGGTCCTTTCTCCAGACATATTCTACATATGTTATTTACGTTTACTGTTAAGTAGTAATTCAATAAATCGTTATTCTGTTGGGGCACATCACTTTTGTTGTTAAAAGTCGCCATGATAAACAAACATTTGTCACGATGACACTGACAGACACCAAACTGACATGCCTGACAGCTATAGAAAGGCGAATTCTTTTTACAATCACTTCTGGTTGACAGTTGACATAGAAATAACAATTTGTTGACAGTGGTAACAAACGGATCTGAAAATAACGTAATTAATGACGTTTTTGCGACAGTGTCGGGTGGCCGAATTTTGACTAACGTATTCAGCTGGCTTATCCAGCTTTACAAATTCTGACAACAGCGTTGAATAAGGAAAATGTAACTTTACGAAATAAGCCTTCGCCTTTTTCCGTAACCAACGGAGCTTTGTTATTTCGATGAAGTATAACGGAGGATTGTTTCCCTATTTCATCATTTTGTGTAATTGTAGTACGAATAGAGCTACGGCTTTCACTGTAAGCAGATTTTACCTTTTAAAAGTGTCTTTACACGAGTCTCTTCGGTTAATATTGAAGATCAACCTAATAGCTCTTTTGCAGCGCAAAACCTTTGTTTACCATACTTGCCTGTCACCACAACATTGTATTGCTACTGATATGTTGATATATTGGTTAAAAGTGTCGGTGTTGTCATATTATGTTTCAATTTGAATAATATCGCAAAACATGACTAATTGTGATTTTTTGCAAATGTGATTTATGTGCAACCAAGTAAAACTTGCATCTATATGCGCACCAAGAAAAACGTCCTTATCCTAGAAAAGACCATGTCGGATGTGTGGCCTAACATTATAGAACTGCACATACATAATATACTGTTTTATTGTTATTCAGTATAAGACGCTTTTTTGGCACAACGCCTTCAACTGAAACGGTCTCCACTGCATCATCAGTTAACCAGCTCGCAGCGCGGGTATCATGTATCTTGAAAAGTGACATTATGCCGATTTTTTTTGACATTATGCTGGTTTTTAAGACATTATGTAGGTTTTTCTACAAGATATTAACTTAGCACTTAGTTGTACGTGTTGAATAAATGTCATGAGGCTTGTTATCAATCTTTGGCTCTGATGTGATCTAAAATCTGCTTCTGAGATGGCATTACTGGAGGTATAAGCTGTAAGTTGTATGTGTTGATAATTACATTGGGTTCTTGTCTCAAATGCACTTAATTGAGATTCAAAGCTAGAAATTAGTTGCGCATCCATTCTGGAAATTACATATACAAATTTGCTGAATTTAAAAAATGAGAAATAAATAATTATATTCACTGTACACTGTCGAATTACAAGCCATATACATGCTAACAGTAATTACACACAATGTGGGCGCAGAGATGATTTCCCGTAATTCTCAGTTTTTCGTAATTGATAACTTTGAACATAACCTCTCTTCAGAAAGCACAACATAAAAATAACCCGTCGGGCACAGCCAATAGATATACTTCATTGGCACCATATTCAGTAATGATTTTCTGACACAGCAAATATCACTGATTTTATACACATGAAGAACAATACACATAATCATCCAGATGCTATTCAACATGTATTCTCTGTATTCTCAGAGATAAAAACTACAGATAAGTGAGACAAGGACCACTTGGCCTCACAGAACATATGTAACCAATAGTTCGTGTAGTTTAGTTGCGTGATTCCTCCTTAGATGGACGTTCACAACGATCCTAGTGAGCAAACGTGGAATGACTGTTTGCGGCCTGAAAACTACCTAGTTTGCAAGATGACATCTTATAGGTTTTTTTACGTTTTATAGGTTCTTTTACAAGATACCCATGCAGGTGACAACAACAGATGTGTCATCTGCGTATTGGACCTTATGGCCAGATAGTTTCAAGTCGTTAATATGTACAATGAAGAGTAGTAGTACCAGGACTGATCCCCGTGCAGCTCCTAAATGGACATTGTATGCGGCTGAGCAGCGACCACTGACTTTTGTCATGAGTTTTCTGTTTGAAAAGAACAAGACCATAAATATAGAACTTTTATACAGGGTGACTTTGAAGTTGAGTCATTAATTTTCAGATAATGATTGTAGAAGGAAGATAAACCAAAATATGTGTGTAAAAATAAAAAAAAATGTTACCTTCTTTTATAAAGTATCCTCCCGACAAGTATTTCAGTGCGGACCTGTATTTGATCGTGCGGTCTTGGAGCACCGGCATGCTCTCCCCTGTGAGGTCTTAAGTCACCTGATTCACGAGCCCTTTGTACTACATTCAGCATTTTCGTAAACATGTGCCATTTTTTATTTTGAGCCGCGCAACAAACACCACTATTCACTCACGCGTTACCGACTGACACATCGACTGAATACAACTGAATAAAATTGTACATTGTAGTAAAAACATCGTTTCAAATTCTTTCCCTTTTTTGTTTCCGATGCGATGAACGGATAAGGCGGATTATATCCGTTGTTGCCAAACACGAGCACATAATATTATTATTGAGACAGGGCGGTATTCAAACTTCTAAAGGGCTATAACTTTGTTACTTTAATTGTACCAGAAAAATGTTAAAGGAAAAAACATTTCTTTTGATCAGATCTACTCACTGTTAAAATAAATTACTCAACTTCGAAGTCACCCTGTATATCTGTGCATCTCTACACCGAATGAACATATGGCAACAATGCGTGCGGTGTGAGATTTTTTGACAGTATATAACCTATGTTTTGGATTTTGACAGTTTCCGGGAAATTGGTATTAACATTTTGGCAGGAGTATTTTGGAAATTGAAAAAGAAAACATAATTCGGCAGGGATCTGTTTACAGTCCATCTATCAGCTTTTTCCTGTTGCTCAGTGGTTAACTCCAACAAGAAAAAATATCGTTTCTAGAGCAGTGGAGTTTCGTAGTTTTCCAAAATGGGGAAAATATCGAAAGTTGTGGTATGCGGCATGAAGGGTGTTGGGAAAACGACAATTTTGGAACAAGTTATTTATGGAAATATCACTGAGAAAACGGTAACTAACCCTGTCAAACATTTACAACATATGTGTTTCTTGAGCAACTAAGAGGGACACTTTTGGAATATGCTCAATATTTTTTCTATTAACCTGCTTTGTAATGAAAATAAGAAATTTCAACAACACCTTTTAATTCTCTTTTTATAGGAGCTTCACCCAACAATTGAAGATATTTATGTAGCCAACATTGAGTCAGATAAAGGGACAAAAGAGAAAGTTAGATTTTATGATACTGCTGGTATAGATTATTCCCAGATTTCTACATCTAATGGTACCACAAACCAACAGTTACCAAGACACTACCTTGTATTAGCAGATGGTTATCTGTTAGTGTATGATACAGCTAATAGAAACTCTTTGGATGTGCTGATTTCTTTAAAGAAAGACATAGATAAGAACAAAGATAAAAAGGAGGTAAGTTTCTTTTTACAAACATTAGTTATGTATCTTGCAATGCTGCACCAAGTACTATGTTTTTGAAAAATCTGAGTACTGGGCTCTGGCATTGGCTAACGTATTGTACCTGCAAAAAGCCAACCAGCATTAAACATTATCAGAGATGAAATGATATGTCCTAGCTTCATCTATGAGAATTTGTCACAGCTATGTTTCCCCATCTCCATAATAATTAGAAATATGCTTTGAAAAGATTGGCTACATTACCATCTGTTAGAGACTAATGTTTAAAAGTAGACTTCTCTAATTATTGTGGAGGGGGTAAGAGAGCTGTGATGAATTTTCATAGATGTTACTAGGATATCTCATACCATGTTGTATAATTTTTTGGATGCTGGAATGGTTCAGGTAGAATATCAATGGTACCAGGTATACTGGGTCCAGTGATCTGCTTCAGGAAATTTCAGCTATATTGTGAGTGCTATTATGATAATATTTGTGTGTGTGTTTATACCTTATCCAAATTTACAATTTTACTCATAATTAATACCATTTATTATCAGGATAATAAGTTTCAGTATGCTATCTAAATCAACATTATTATAGTGATTTCATGGTTATAAATACTGAGTCCTAGAAATTGTGTATATACATCAGATATCCATTAGATCCCATACAAGAATTGGATATAGCATGAAAGTTGTGGATATCTAATGTATATACAGTAGATAATAATAATAAATGGGCCTTATTTCCTACCAATGTAAAAGTACAAATAAGGTGAAGTGTTGTTAAGATTGGCGTTTTTCAACTTAACCTTTGAAACAACAAAAAATATATAATAAAACATTCCACCAATAAAAATCTATCCATAATTCTCAATAATTACTAAATATTTAACAACACAAAACACAGAACAATTACAAGAATAGTCCATATTTCCAGCATTTTGTATTCATCATCAGACCTTGACTTGTAGTTTTAATTTAAGCCTCTTTTTAAAATTAAATAATGTATAGGTTTGGAATGCAACAGGCAGATCACTATATAATTTAATAGCATTGTAGCTGAATGATTTTTTGTAGACAGCCTTAGAATGTAAGGGTATCACTAACATATTTCTATTCCTTGTATTCAGTTGATTTATGTCACTACATGGTGTTAGCTTATTATGCAAATATTGTGTTTTTTTGGTAGCTAAGACCTTATGTGTGAGTGTCAATAAGTGAAGTTTTTGCATGCCTTTAATCTGCAGAATACCAAGTTCCTTGAATTTATAAGAAATAATGATGTCATGTGCAAATGTTTATTTCTGGACAAAGCAGCACATCTATAGTTCAAGATGGAAAGAGCAAACCTTTAAAGTAGCAGGGTGCTAATTTTGACATGCAGTGTATATTTATGACATGCAGCAGTTTTCGAAAATATGTACAGGCACAAAGGACGGATGTTTTTGAAATGGCTAGTACTCTCCGCCTATTCGGGCGAGAGCGGTGGGGAGAGAACCATTCTACTCGGACGTTCCTAGTATTTTTACCAGTAGACATTATGAAGTAGTGGACGCTTGAGCATCGCGTTCTCGCGTACGACAGTTTTGTCTGACATAATGAGTCTATCACGGCTGTACAGAGTAAGTTTCATCGCCACTTCAATATTCATCGGAATCGAGCTGTTCCTTCTCGAAACACCATCCTTCGTTGGGCTCACACGTGGCGTACTGATCAAGAAAGACCACCAGTAGTTCCACGAACGGTTCGAACCCCTGAAAATATGGAACGCATTCGACAAGCCCTGCTCGGCAACATGCTTCGCCTCAGTGATCGTTCGGTAATGCGTATTTTGCATATGGAACTCACACACTTTCACCCCTACAAATTGGTCATTGGCAACAGTTACACCCTGGAGATTATGCACAACGAATGAATGAGAATGAGAACCTCATTTTGTTCATGAGTGATGAAGGTCACTTTTATCTTAATGGCATGGTTAATCGGCAGAAGTGCCGTTATTGTGCTAATGAAAATCCGCGACAGTTATATAAAAGACCGCTGCACACCCCAAAAGTGACCGTTTAGTGCGCTGTATCGCAAACTTGTATCATCGGCCCTTACTTCTTCGAAGACGGTAATGACAATGCTGTTGCCGTGAACTTGGAGCGCTAAGTCGAAAAATAATAAATTTGTTTTTGAGTAAAAATTACCGATTTGGGATTTTTTTAAAAACCGTCCGACCTTTGTGCCGGTCCCTGTACAATACTCATATTCTTTTCAGCCATTTTTTCATTTTTTATGTACTCCTGTTAAACCTATTTGTAGATAACAATAGTTGTGATTGGAAACAAAGTGAGTGAAAGTGAAACAGACTCTAATCCAGACTCAGTGATAAATACTGCTATCCCATGGTGCAACAGAGAGAAGATAAAACACTTCACTGTATCTACATTGAAAAGAAATACACTGTATGAACCATTTGTTTACATTACCAGCAAACTGATACCTCCTACCAACAAAAGTAGCTTTACTCCACTCTCTATGGGCCGAAAGGTTATCAAAGATTCTAGCTAATTCTTTTATTTTGTGTTGTTATGTATCCATTACTATTGGAACAATTTAGGAGGTTTCAGTTAACAGAGAAAATCTGTCTTATTGAAATGAAGGGTTCTTATTGATCTGAGTAACCAATGAGTAAAGTAGACCAACTAGAACTGCCAATACAGGAGTCATCCGTTGTAGTCACTGGCATTTCCTATACATGCACTGTATACTGCAATTACGGGTATATTCAAGTGTTCAATTTGAAACCTTTATTTTATAGAGATTATGTTACATAATATGATGTTTTTCATGCAATTATATCAATGATGCGGTTTCACTATCTTTGTGGTGGAAATTAGGAGCTTCATCCTGGGAGGCATTTCTATGGGCTGTGTTAAAAACATAATTGAGTAAATTTCACAGGCCCACAAAATAAAAAAGTATATACTTGGGTTTTGACTATGTTTTCTCCATCTATTTTTTCAGTATGAAGTCGGAACTTAGAGGTCGCTGGTCCAATAAGGAAGTAATTTAGACATTAATATCAGATATTTTGTCATGTTTGGTGGATGTGCATCTCTTTAGAGATCTCTTCAGATTTATATTTAGCGTGAAAAAGTACATGGAAAAAACGCAATCGTACTGTAGTTTTTGAAAATCGGTCAAGTGGCGGCGGAAAAAAATCGCGCTCAAACTTCGTTTTTTGACATTTCAGACGACCCGGTTCATTTTCGGAAAACATTTTCTAGCTGTTAAAAATTTGGGTTAGGGGTTGCAGGGTAGAGTGCGACATTTTTTGACGTTGGTGGTTGAACTAACCGCAGTAATTCTACGCACATATTTGGCATATTTCACACATTAAAACTCAGAAATACGTGCGACGTCACCCCCAATGGACAAGCGACGTCGTCGACAGTCGCTTCAACACTAATGTGGCCTGCGTGCACTGTGTGCGTGATGAAGTCCAATATTGTCATTCATGTGGGATAGATCATCGCAACGATCATGTGTACCTACAGCAATTCCTTTCAGGGGGAGGAGGAAGGTCATTTCATTTTTGTTATACATGTTCGTGGCTAACTTTCTTCTCACAATGGCTAACTTGTGCCAAACATAATCTCAGATGATAGCGGGGCGTGTGAAGTACAGAGTCAACTTATTTGAGGCCTTTTTTATTCCATGGGCCTGTGTTTTTATTTCTTTTTTATTACTAACCAGTTTTTTTGTATCAGTTATTTCTTATTTGTATAATTTAATCCACATAGACCAATGAACTATCAACACTGATGGAACAGGCGGAACGCGAATTCATTGCGGCTAGAATGAGAAACGAGAAGGATAGCGCTAGTCAGGGCAAAACATTGGCAAAACATCGTGGTCCATTCTGGCATTTCCATATATGTTCTAAGGATTTTTGGTGAATGTTTGTTTTTAGTGACGTTAAAGATTAATAGTGATAGTTTGCGACAATTATTATAAACATTTTTATGCCGGACAGCCTTCAAGAGCTGTTGTTTTATGTGATATTTGTTTAAAAATGGTTGAATCTTGCGGTGCGGTGAATTGTTGCAATAGACGCAGAAAAGATGTGAAAATGAAGTTTCACAGGTTGGTTTTAATCATCTCTTTGTGTGAGAATTACCTGTTAATTGGTAATTCTAGGAAATATCTGGATTTTTAGGATATCTAGAGATCCTAACATGAGGAAGTTGTGGTTACATGCTATAAGAAGAGAAAACTTTACTCCCAGAACAACAACGGTAATTTGTGAAAAGCATTTCACTCCAGAGGATTATGAAGTTAGTGTTCATGGAAATAAGGTACTAAAAAAGGTGGCAGTTCCATCTGTGTTTGATTTTTCAGCCTATCTCAAGAAAGAACCTAGCCATCAAAGGGTTTTGAAAAGAAAACATGAAGAATCCAACTCAAAAGCAACAGGTATGTTCTTTAAAATATTCCCAGTCTAGGCTTAAGGTTTTAACTTTTCTACTTTTAAAAAAGATATTTACAATGATGAAGTGGGTCTTAGTAACGTAATTATTTTTAGAACAAACTTTGGCTATTGGTGAAGTAGTAGAAGAACCTGAAAATGGTGATCATGCTGATGATGGAAATATATTGGCAGCTGGTCCGTCAAACATAACACAAAAGCTAGGATTTTTAGAATCAAGTGAACCTTCAAACATATGCAATTTTAGGTAATTGTCATTGAACTTTGTGTTTCTCATTTGTTACAACCTCTTTTTGTTTGTAGGGTCAGAAGATCATCAGTATACTTTGGGGATTTCAAAATTTCTGATTTAAATAATGTGCAGCGTCAGTAGAGATTTTGGAAAACTGCTCATGAAACTGTTCATAAGTACAAAAAAATTAACAAGTACAATCAGTGTAAAATTCGTAGACAAAGAAATAAAATAAAATGTCCGAATAGTCTGGTAGATGCACTACTTAAGGAGAAGAGAATATCTGCAGCTCAGTCAATAGTATTACCTGAATTATTAATTACTTATGTTAAATACTAATTATTATATCTTCAAATGTGTAAAGGAGAATTTATTGTCAAGTTTCATACATCTGTATATATAAATAAATAAACTTGGTTTTTTAATTATAATTACGTTTCCAGGAATTTATCTTGTTCCAGTTGCCTGAATAACTTTTAAATCTTCTCTAAGAATCCTCGGTTTCCTACGCAATTCATTCAAGTCCGCGCGCCTTTTGTCCTGACTAGCTCCATCTCTCTCTCGAGCCTCTTTGTCGTATGTTGGCCGCATTTTCGTTTCATTGTACAAATGGGACGGGGCGATTCCATCAGTGTTGACAGTTCATTGACACATGTTTTGAAAATATATCTACCTTTAAGTACCTAGAATATCACATCCCTGTAATTCAAGCTATACAATAAAATCTAGTATCTGCTCAATCACTTGTTTTTAGTTACATATTGTGGAGAATTTCTGTATATTATTACGATTGTGACTACAAAATACAATTTGTAAGACGAGAGGATACAAAAAATGACCATGACCAACCGCATATAACGCTGCTTGATGCTTTTTAGCAATCAGCAATATAGTATAGATCTAACCGTGTGGAGACAGATGAATGGAAAGGAAACAAGTTTATATGGTTAACAGAAAGACTCTGTATGTTGTGCGCAAGGAGGTGGATAGCACTGCCACCTACAGATACTTCGCTAAAGCTTGTAATGTGCCAAAATCACGTAACCTTTTTTTAATATTTTGATCACTTAGTAGTAATTTGAATGTCTTTTTATTAATGGTAGAGTGTCGATTCCTAGGACAAACCCTTTTTAATGATTTTCTCTAACGTTATAGTATTTTATTAACGACTATCTCAGAAATTTCCTTAGAAAATACTGTTGGTCCCTTGTAGAGTTGGTTTTCTAGGGTCCGCGCATTGGCAATCAGCAAAACACTTTGTGGTTTTTCTCCGTTTCTTTTGGTTTTCTATCGAATATACCTTCTCCAAGCCATTTGACCTTCCTTTTAAACATTTACGTGATCTGCGGTCAGCCACTTTCCTGTTTAGCTTTTGGTGCGTAATAGTTAATTAAAATGATATTTTACCTGTTCACATCAGGGTTTGTTTTGTTCAAGGGGAAGGGTGGCTTCCAGCAATATTATCTGCAAAACAGCTACAAGGCTGGTGGCTCTCCGTAATGCCTTCCCACTAAAAGAAAGCAGATATTGAACAAACTTCCTCAGGACATGCATTAATTCACGTGGTCTGATGGTATAAAAAAAGAACTTGCCGCTGAGGGTTAAAATCTCATAAGAAAATGGAGGGGGTAGCACCCAAATCAAAACAACTAAACGTAATGTACAAAATAAAAAGGTGCTGCTCCATAAATTGGTGTTCGGGACCTAATATCTCAGAATCTGGAAGTTAACGAAACGACCCTCGCATCAAAAAACCTCAACAGAAAAGTGTATGACGCAGAACACGTGACTTTTCAAAAGGAATGTTAAATGAGTTGCCTTGAAAAAGGTATGTTCGATAGGAAACCAAAAGAAACTGAGAAAAGCCACAGAGTGTTTTGCTGATTGCCAATGCGCGGACTGTAGAACACCAACGACATTTCATAAGGAAATTTCTGGGTCGTTAATAAAATACTATAACATTAGTGTCCAAAAGATTTCAACACAATACTGAGTCGATAAGAAAGAAAGATATAATACGTGTGAAATCATACAATCAATAAACTATAAAATTTGCCAAAAGAAAATCATTAAAAAGGGTCTGCCCTAGGAATCGGCACTCTACCATAAATAAATAGAAATTCAAATTACTACTGAGTGACCAAAATAGTAAAAAACGTAGTAAATACGTTGAAAATGACAGGAGGCCCCTACGCCTCTGGCCTACACGGAATGACAGATTACCTTTCGTGAAGAATGAATTCAGACCAGGTAGAAGGAGTTTACCTTCAAAATATCATAGTCTGTAGTCAGGATGAAAGTTCATTCAAGTCGATCAGGTTTGAGTCGCCAGTTCGACAGTTCTTAACATTGCACATGAAATCGTATTTTTCTGCGAAAACATATAAAAGTACGTGGGTTCCATACAGTCCTAGTGTTCCAGACAATTGTCGAAAATGGTGAAAGTTTCTGTGGAATGTAAAAAGCCGTCTCAACTCAATAACCGATCGATAAGTCTAAATTCACATTATAGTCATCAACGTTGCGAAAGGGCATGCACCTCAATTTTGGACTGATCTGGACAGTTGTGAGGTAACTTTGATTTATTTTAGTACACTTCTCGTTTCTTTGATTGCTCACAGTCCGAATCTAAGATTTGGTAACAGGATTGAGTAAATAACGACAACATTGAAAAATGAAAAGTACTGGAAATTGTTGATGGATACTGAAATGACTCAACTGAAACTTAAATTCTGAGTGTCATCTACTTTAATTTTGAATCTCAAAATTCTCTTGAATGGGCCTTACTTTCACGTTATAAATAATTTCACGTTCTCATTTTAATTGCCATGAGATTCTAGTGAGGAAGCTCAATAGGCCCAAAAAAACTATGAATATCAAATTAATTGAATTACTTTTAATAACAAAATTAATAACAGTGATTTCCATGTTCTCAACTAGCTATTTGCATTTAGCCAGAAATCTGCTTGGATCACGAAGTACCGAGTAAAATTCAAGCTGTTTCCCACTATTTCCAATATCCAGAACCGTCCAAAACATTTTTACAAGGACTTTTTTCAAAGAAAGTGGTTTACTCCGATTTTTTTTAAATTCTCGCGCAATAAAGTGTTTTTAGCACTTTTGATGAAGCCCTTCATCTCAAAACACGCCAGTTACTTACGTAATTATTTTAATTTGCCAGAGTTGAATCTATGTTTATTTTTGATGTAAGTGTACAATATTCAGTCTGTGTAAAGAATTTTTATTTATTTACTTATTTTTCATGTTTACACTATCCGAACAGTCTATGCCACTTAACGGATAGGAAATTCACAAACATGTATATCTAGAATGCTGGTAATACAATCATATGCAATAGATTTCTGATTATGAAGGAAGACTTAACCCATGGTAAGAAAATACGTTTTAATTTCGCGCATATTACATAAAAATATATCCTTATTACATTCATAACTATTACACATTACATGGACAGGAGGGAAAAGTAAAGCATTGCTTTTAGGTAAAAATATTTTACATTTGCTCGAGTTTTAGCATAAGGTACATGTATAGCAATTTTACCAAGTAGGTATTCACAGTCAATTATATTACTGAGTAATTTACATAAAAACATACAACCAGCATAATCTCTCCGCTTTTCTAAATTGGACATATTAAACCTACTTAGTAACACATCCTGCACCATAGATATTTCGCAAATCGAATTTGAATGTGTTCGATCTTATTGCGATGCACTTTATAAACAGGGTACCAAATTACTGAGCAATATTCTATTTTAGATTTCACAAATTAATTGTATAACAGAATCCTGGTCCTTGAATTATTAAATTCCCTACAGTTTCTGATTATGAAGCTCAAGCACTTGTATGCTTTGCTGATAACAGTATCAATGTGCTCGAGAAAACGTTAGCTTCGCATCAAATATTATGCCCAAATCATTGAAATCGTGACACGGTTTTAGCGACAATTTATCAGCGGTGTAAACATAGTACATACAACATTTATCCACATTAAGATACAGATTGTTACTTTGACACCACGTGTTAAGAGCATCTAAATCATTTTGCAGTATGTGGCGGTCGCGGTTGGTATTTTACAAAATATCTTTAAATCATCACAACAAAGTAGACAGCTGCTCTGCAGTTAACTAACAACATCATCAATGAAAATAAGAAACAGTAGGGGACCAAGTCCAGACCCTTGCGGCATACCTGAAGAAGGAGTAATGTCAATGGAAGTAAAACCTCTATATTCAACTCTCAAATATCTATCTGTCAGATATGAATTAAAAAAGCACAAAAATTGATGACGATGACTCAATCCCCATGCAGCTAACTTATTCAACAAAATGCCATGATCTAGTTTATCGAAGGCTTTCGAAAAATTTACATACGGAACTACTTGTGCTCGCTCATCAACGGTTTCCGAACAAAATTGTTTGGAACATGCTAAATTAGTTAACGATGACCTACCTTGGGAGAAGCCGTGTTGGCTGGGTGAAATCTGTCGCTTAACATGGGAAAAAATTATATCATGTAAAATAAATTCAAAAAGTTTGCAAACGTTGCTTATCTGATCGGTCTCCTTTCTTAAAAATTTGAGCAATCCTAGATGTTTTCCATACCATAGGGAATGTAGAAGTTTTAAGAGACATATTGAAAAGATGAATTAACGGTTCAGCTATAATGACAGCGCAGTCCTTTAACAAAAATGCAGGTATTCCATCTGGAGTGGCAGACAATTTAGGCTTAATTTTTTTCATAGTTTCAATAACCAGTTTGTGCGTAATTACTGGCAAATTCAATGGTAAAGAAGTATTGTTAGCTGAGATTGCAGGTTGAAAGTTTGTTGAGGTAATGTAAGTTGATTGAAGAAAATGTGCAAAAGCATTGATGACAATATCTTGATGCATGTCAAGTTGGCTGTCATTGAACTTCATAGCGTTAGGAATACTTGTAGCATTTTTCCGATACTCTATAAATGACCAAAATTGTTGAGGATTAGCAGTTATGTTCCTTTCCATATTAGCAGTATATGCTTGGTATGCCATATGAATGCTTATTTTTATACTTTTTCGCAAGCTTCTAAAGGTCTCACAGTCTTGTGGATTATGTGTTCTTGTACACCTTTCCCATATACGACGTTTGTTTTCTATCCTAGCAATTATAGATGAACTAAACCAGGGTGGATATGAACGCTTCGATCAATTGCTGAGTATAATATTTCGTAAAACTTATCACACGCCACGTTGATATCATTGATTGAATATAAAGGAGTAAAGTCAAGATCTGTTATATCGGCATACAATGTACTTACCTATATCTGCTCTCCCGTAAATATATCTTGGAATTTCATTTAAGTCAAACCTACCAAAAACATTCCCTATCAACTGGTAGTAAAACGTCTGAAGCAGGAATCACTTGGAGATCATTTTTACAAAAGACTAAATCAAGAATACGGCCATTTGAGTTTAGTGTATGCTATGGTTGAATTGTTTAAGACTGATGAAGTTAATCAAATTATTGAGTGCTGCTATATAGTTATTACTGAATTGAGATAACAAAGAACTATCATCTATGACTATGGTCTAAACTTTTCCATTTTAATTTTTTAAGCAATGAACCATTAGGAAAATTATAATAAAATTTAAGTCTGCCAGGAAATAACTAAATTCGTATAAGAGTTCTTTTTTTTGTAGTGAATAATCAATCTCAAATAAGAACCTATTGTTACAAAACGTTCATATTATTTGCACATACTATTATTTGTTTGATATTCTTAAGTGGAAATCTTAAATATTTTCCATGAAAGTTCATTACAAAACTGCTGATCAATTGAAATTAGTGACTTGCAAAGGATCCCTTTCTATGATTTCATCGAACTTAGCAAATAAAAACAAAACCGGCCAAGCACCTGGATCGATGACATCAAAAACGAGCACTTCCTCTTCAGTAGAAACTGAAATGTTTTGAGAATCAGGTGCTGAAAGATCGATAACATCACAAGGATTATGAAACGGCAAAAAATCATTTAGTTCTTTATCAGTACTTGTACTTGGAATAACTAGATCAATTTCAGTTTTCTTATCCACGATACTCTAACCCACTTCAGCTGCATCTTGTTTTAAAAAATTAAATAGTGCACGCTGTTGTGATTTTAAGAACTGTTCACGTTTGTCCTTTTTCCTCTGTTTTTATAACCACTTCCAAATTTCCTAAATTTGTCTCTTTCTCTACACATGATTTAAACCTGTGTCACACACAGGACGACAGTACAACCACAGACCGCTTAGGGCTTAGAAACATCAAAGTCACAATACTCACATTTAATACGCGCGTGATGCAACTAATAAGAACGTTGCCACTGAATTGATGGGTCGAGGGAGTCATTGGGGTCCCCGATTTCCGATACGGCCCTGCCAATATCAGGTACTTTGCCGTTTGCTGTTTGATAAATACAATTCTTTGTACTTTTTACCTTCCAAAAGCACGAATTAAGTAGACTTGTTCCTGTTAAGTTTACTAAAGAGTGAGGTTGAGATTCAGTACTGACGTCCGATCTGCGCGGCCTACTATGTTTCTATATACAAAACTTAAAAGACATTCCTCGTATTATTGCTCCTTAAATCCATTGTGTTCTGTTTGTTCAATGCCAGCTTGAAAAAAAATATGGGAAGTGCTCAGAAATCCTCAGAAAGGCAATATTTTATTATATGAGAACAAAAGAAGTATGTGGCATTTATAATTAACTAGTGTAATAATATTAAAGATTAAAACATAAAAAACTTAATTGCTCTGTTAACAAAAAAAAAACATTTTGAGGGACCCCGAGATATCCCAGCGATTCCACACAAAACAAGGCATTTGATGGCGAAAACGAACAAGACAAAGAATGATGTCTATAGACCATCATCTATAGATCGTGTCTTGAGACCGTCTCTAGACTGCCTATAGACACATTGCGCAAATGGGCCTACTAGTGTGTACTAAGCTTAATGATTAATACTCTGAATTACTCGTTAAACAAATCAAGTAATTGGTGTAAATACTGACACAATCAAGCACTTCTATTATATCAGCAGGTGATAAAAATATCAATAGGAATAGTCGATTATTTTTTGAAATGCAATATAGATGGTTACAGTTATTCCTCAGACTTTCGTTGTCGAACTTAGATTTGCGGCATAGTTGTTGATTTCTCAGTTTTTGAATCGGTGTTGATCGTATGTAAAAATGTAGGAAATCTTTGGAAAAAACTATATATGTTAGATCGTAATTATTTTGATAATGTATGTTTGTACGAATCAAGAATAGGAATACAGAGCTGTACATATTCACGTGTAGTGCAGAAGCTCTGTGACTTAAACGAATTCCAATATATCAACATTAATAGAAACACGCGGGAAGAAATGCGGGACGTGACTTTGAGCATCGATCGATGCATTTTCTGGACAGGCCACAGCTGCACTGTTAAGCAAATCTCATAAATGTATATTTCCAATGTAGGCGTTCATCTAACATATACTCTAATCATATTAGCAAATTTCCCCGAAATAATTGTCCGGTTTTATTAGTGCAAGATGTTCAAGGAGGTATTTTAAATATGGACGAATAAAATGGTGACACCAATTTTTGTGGGAAATTTTTTTTATTTGACAACAAGGAATGAGAATGTTTTTTGGGATTCAATCGAAAGTGTTGACAGGAACGCAAAAACTTTTTTCAGGTATTTATGAAACCTACAGAATGAGACCACACGTGAAAAGATCCGACTAATAGCAAAAATGTTATGGCAGAAAAACCAGGCAAAATGCAGGTTCTGGCACTTGTTGGTAATGCGACGATAATTTTACGGAACTACTTGAAATTCTTCAAATCCGCAGGATTCATACTTCTAAATAGCAACAGCAAAATTGGAGTATATTGGTCATGTAGTTTTTTGAGAATTTTTAAGTGTTTGTCCCAAAACACCTGTTTTCCGGCCATCACTACTAGTTTATCGAGCAATATGCAGGGTTCTTTCACAGAGCATTTAATAGCAAAATAATCGTTTTTACCTTGCCGATATGAATTACAAACCATTCCGAAAGATAAATGTTATTTTTATGCGAAAAACAAAGGTAACGTTTTTCTCTTCTAAGCAAATACACACATTTCGTATTTGTGAGTAATTGAGAAAATGCACTACGATACATGCGAAATACATACGTTACTATGCAGATTTTAACCTTCATAAACCCGAGCGGGGTGCAGTTGCACCCCAGACATCAATTTTTGGTGTTATTTTCTAAGATATTTTTTTTAATTTAATTTCCTTTGAGTTATGTTTCTCAAATATGTTTCTAATATAGTCTAAAAAATTTTAAACAATTTGTGATTTATTGTAACAAGTTATAGTGAGTTTAGTTCCTTGGGGTGCAGCTGCACCCCGCTCGGTATGTAACTATAGGTAAATATTTTGCATACGCTGAATACTAACTGGGGTATAAATAAACCCCAAATTTTTCAAACGACGGAGATTCCCCGTATCGTGACGGCAACACTGTCGGGGAATCCCAATAGCGGCTATGTATAACGTGTCCACGCAATTATCGCATTATAATAATCAAATTCAAGCGGATAACCAAATGGAAATGGTATTTACCATTTTGGATTGGTATTTACCGATCCGTTCAAGCGAGTGTGGTTATCAGTTTGGTTATAAGACCCGTGACGTCATGAATCAGCTGTTATATGTCATAGTTATCACCGCAAAATTGTGGCATTTACCCAACTCGGGAGTAGTTTTTATATTTCTGGTTATTATTTGACATGTGACAAGTTAGAATTTTGCCGGGTATTGGATATTTTTGTTGTACTTCAGCTTCATTTTTGGGAAACTTGATACAGGCTGACTTCAGTTTTAGCATAAGAGACCACCTTATTATTTATAATCATTACTGTTGTTGGGGACACTTTAAATCTAGTTCCTACGCTTAACAAAGTATCCTGTATAGCCATATACTACAAGAATATTAAAATATGGCCGTATAAACTCACTGGATGATGTCCACATGTATACGGTTTTGTTAATAACTTTTTTCATCGCTTTTTCATCATTTCTGCTAAGTCAATAAATATTTTCTTTGACATGCGGAAAAGTTTAGAGAATTGAAAGTTATCATAGCTACAAAGCCATGGTTCCATCAGTAAAAATGTTTTTCTGAGAAAAAAAAACATTCGTCCCATTAGTATTATGAAAGTTTTATTTTTTTCAACTTTCCATACCCCGTTGTAGACGAAAAAGCACCGATTATTTAATGATAATAAAAATAATCAGAAATTATATACGCGCTTTTATAAAATAAACAACTTGCAACAAACCGCGGTTAAAACCAACGCGTTCAAGCGATTCGAGTAACTGACGTCATCATCCCGTGTGTCATCTTGAACCATATTATAACCGCGGTACATAATACGGAAATTTTGGTTATTCGCTTGGATTTGATTAATCTTAGGTTTCGTGTGTGTCGTTACGTTTGTAGTGATTGTCGCCTACGCGCTTATAAAATGAGTGAACCACCGAAATTTCGAAATGAAAATAAGCTAACAGACGAAGAACTATTGGCGATATTAGAAACGGATATTTACGACCATTATTTTAATGATTCGATACTAGAAAATGGTTCAAGTGATATCGAAGAGACTGATATAGTGACTCAAACTAATGAGATAGATGATGTTTTGCAAGTTAGTGATAGTGAGAATGATTTGGCAGATTCTTCAGCTGTAATTGGCCAATCAATAACTCATACAGAAAATCCAACTTATACTTCTAAAGATGGTAGTGTGTGGGCAAAAGTTCCACTTACTGCGAGGACAAAGAGAAGAAAATGTAATATACAAACTGGTCCAACAGGTTTGACGAGATATAGCTCCCAATTTTCCAGCATAAAAGAATCCTTTGAACTATTTTTTTCACAAGATATTATGAATGTGATTTTATCGGAGACGAATAGAAAAGCCGAATCATATTATGCAAGAAATGGGAAGGCTTTTTCTCCTTTTGTGCAAGAGGAACTGGAAGCATTTATTGGTTTGCTTATTATTTTTGGAGCCTGGCATGCTGCTAAAGAGCCAATATGCGTATTATGGAGCCAAGACCCAACTTTATGTCGACCTTTGGTATCATCTACTATGTCTCGCAACAGATTCCAACAAATTATGTGCTTTCTAAGATTCGACAATTTTGAAACAAGAGAAGAAAGAAAACGCACTGATAAATTTGCCGCAATCAGAGATGTCTTTGATGTTTTTGTATCTAATTGCAAGAAATCTTTAAATCCATCTGAACACTTGTGCGTGGATGAGCAGTTAGTTCCGTTCCGAGGCAGCGCTCCTTTTCGGGTTTACATGAAGAGTAAGCCGGACAAATATGGATTAAAAATTTGGGCCTTGGCTGATTGTAGTTTGGCGTATACAGTGAATATGCAAATTTATTTAGGTAAGCTATGTCCTAGAACATGCAGATATTATAGATTTTAAAATTTTAGGCAAAGAAGGAAACAAACCAGAGAAAGGTCAAGGTCAAAGGGTAGTATTAGACCTGGTAAACCATTTATCTACAGGATATGGGATAACTACTGATAACTTTTTTACCAGTATTGAGTTGGCCAATAAGCTCTTAGATAAAAACATTACCTTGTGTGGAACACTGCGTAAAAATAAACCTTATATTCCAAAAGAACTACTTCCAGCAAAATACAAGAAAGATTTTTCAAGCATGTTTGCTTTTATGGAAAATAAAACATTAGTTTCTTACGTACCAAAGAAAAATGCGGCAGTTATCCTTTTATCAACAGAACATAACGATGACAGAATAAGTGGAGAGGAATGTGACTATAAACCGGACATCATTTTACACTACAACAAAACTAAGGGTGCAGTAGATACAACAGATAAATTGGCAAAGGAATTTACCACTCAAAGAAAAAGTAATCGATGGCCGATGGTAATATTTTTCATCTGCTGGATATTGGTGGCATCAACGCCTATAAACTATGGATGTTGAAAAATCCAGATTGGAAAAAAAATCGTTTAGATAGGAGAAGAATGTTTCTGTTGGAGTTGGGCCACGAATTAATTAAGAAGAATATAATTCGTAGATACCATAATGACAAGTCGTTACATTCCAATATAAAACAATCCATATTAACAATTTTGCCAGAATTAAATATTGTAAGGAATGAACCACCTGCTCCCGCTATTCGGAGACAGCAACGATGTTTTTTATGCGACAGAAGTAAGACAGGAAATCTCGAAAGTTTTGTATTCGGTGTAATCAGTACGTATGTGCAGAACATTCTGAAAATATAACCGTTTGTAATAAGTGTGATAATTAAATTATTATTTAAAATATCACATATTTATCTTCTTCTTAATTATCTTTCTTTATATTATAATCATTTCAAATTATTTTTTCCAAATGTGTTTGTTTATCAATGTTATAGCATACTTATGTAAAAATATATATTTTTTATAATCAGAATGTGTTTATTTTTTGAAAATCTTTAATTACAGTAATTAAATAAGCCAGAAAAACGTTGGGGTACATTTGCACCCCACTCGGTAAATTTCTGACCACGGGTTTATGAAGGTTAAAACAAAGCGGATGTGTCTATCATCTTTTGTTGCGAGTTACAAATACGAAATGTTTGAATTTGTTTAGAAGAAAAAACGTAATCCATCCTTTTTGCACAAAAATAACATTTATCTCTCGGACTAGTTTGCGATTCATATCGGCAAGGTAAACTAGTGTATTTGAACTAACCCTGTATATTGATCAATAAACTAGTAGTGGTGGCCAGAAAACAGAGGTTTTGGGATCAACAATTAGACATTCTCAAAAACTACTCGACCAATCTACTCCAATTTTGTTGTGGTTATTTAGAAGTACGAATCCTACGAATTTGAACATGTACCAAAACTTGTAGTTTGCCTCGGTTTTCGGTCATAACTTTTTTGCTATTAGTCGGATCTTTTTACGTGTAGTCTCATTTTGTAGGTCTCATAAATACTTAAAAATCGTATAAGGAGAGTTTTTTCGTCCCTGCCAATTATTTCGATTGAGTCCCCAAAAACACGTTTTCTCATTCTTTGTTGTCGAATAAAAAGTTTTCCCACAAAAATTGGTGTACCCTTTTTACGCGACCATGTTCTGAATACCCCCTTTGAGCAACTTGCAGCAATAAAATCAGACTTAGAATTATTTCGCAAACCAGAGGTATTTTCGTCCAATATGATTAGACTAATAGTGCTTCGCTGCAACACCAACCCCGAACAAAATCAGTCAAGCTTTACACACTTTTCAAATTACTATTGAGCAACAAACAGAATTTTTAACTTTTTAAGTGCAATCTGTATAGCTAATATATTGCTTAGACTTAGATTTGTCACAAATCACAATACTCGTATATAGGTACGTATAAATCGTAAGAATTGTGCTGTAAACGTAAGTGATGTCGAAGAGGGACAGTGTTTGGAATACCAAAGCATACCGAAAAATCGCAATGCTCAGTTCCTATAGCTAACTTATAGTTAGTATGCGTATGTCGCCATGATGTGTCAGAAAGTAACACAATGGTGTTAGATTACAAAAGCAAGTGTCAGACGTCTAGGCTGGGGGGGCGCGCCTCCCTCTAACCCTCTAAATCCGCCACTGTACATCATTTTCGAAATTCTTCGCGATTACACTACCTCCTCGCCAATAGGCGTTGGAAGTAAAAGTGTAGGCCGATGCATGGGTGCCCGTTAGCGGGACAAGGAAGGGCATATGCCCTCCTAGCTTCCGGGTGAGAAGTAAAATATATGTAATAGGGTATCAGTTTTTTAAGTAACGACTGGAGTGTGTGTGTTTGATTTTTTTTTTGTTTTCAAAACATCCGAAAAAGTTACTTTGGTAGATCTGAACTGTCGAGGTGTGCCGTGCTCTCCCTTTCAGATGCTCAGGTGCATAAAGAAAGAGACGTGCATTTTTAAAAATACAAACATTCCGACTGCAGTAACTGAAGATTATGAATCAATTGTGCTACTAAGATAAGTCTATGTAAATCTACAGGAATGTCATATGTCAAAATGCATCAAGCCTCTTAAGCTGTAGCCGGTAGGATAGGAAAGCTGAAATTTTCGCTTAAAAGTCAGCTATTTTGATTTTTTAAAAGCTCGTATACCCACTCTGTCACAAAAATCTACAGATACCTCAATCAAGCCGTTTAATCTGTGTAATCCTTGAAATAGGAATCTTGAAGTTGATTTTCTTATTAAATTCAAAGGCATTCAATCCATAGTATAAAAATCGTTTAAAATCGGTCCAGTAGTTACTGTAATTACAGGCGGACGATAACTAGGTCGATGAAAATGAGTGGGTATGGATTTTCGTTTCAATTTTCAACAAATGTAATAATTCAACTTTGACATTTTTCTCGATATACTTTCTCCGCCTACTTATATCTTGGGAGATAAAAGCAGTGCCGCATCAATATGGTTGCGTTGTTGCGTTTTATGCAATGTTTCGTAACCTGAACGTGACGAAAATGCATTTTTCTGAACGTGTTAGCGGGGGCTGGTAGTATAAATTGGTGGACATATATATTGCTCTGATGCTCCCGTCATCAATGAACATTGCGGCCCACGTTTATGCTACTGATCGCATGCGTTGCCTTATTGATGGGGGTTGAAATGCAGGGTTGCCACATACATTTGCAACGAAAATGAATGAAGATCGTTATCGTGACCCCCACTATTGCACCGCTTTTCATCTAACGACGCCCCTATCCTCGATAATCGAGATTTAAGAATTTTCAGTATCAGTACAAATTCTATAAATAGCCATTAGTTGCAGTGGCGCAGGTGAAGGAATTTTCTGTTATAAGTTTTGGCTAATCGATAGGAAAAGCTACATATAGTAATATTAAATAATCCTAAAATGTGGCGAACAAACTTGCAGAGTTATTACGTAAAAAACATGTAATGTTAAAAAATCGGTAAAATGCCAACTTGTGCACTAGGTGGTCGCTAGAGTGCCGCTAGTTCATTCCGTTGTTGCTACAAGTGAGCATCACGTGAATGTCAGCTAGTCCGAAGGTGACTTTTTAATGTCACTTTTTAAGTTATAATATGTTGGAATAACCAAGTAAGTACGATAAAAAGAGCTTCTGATGACGTACATATTCTGACGTGCTGGTATACACGGTCTCTGACTGTCGAACGCGGAGCTACCACCCGACGGATCCCGTAGGCAGGGCCAGAATGTGTGCATGTTGCACACAATTGTATGTTTATGTGCACGAATTAGTCAGAACTCGTTAGAATAAAACTTTGCTAGAACTCCCATCCATAGTAACCGTAGATTCACTATGGTGAATGTACATACGAGATACGAGCCATGCCTATCGTGCACTTTCGCCAAAATTTCAATTTATTGCTCATTGTTATCGATACCCAAATAAAAAAGGGGAGATAGTTTCTCTTTATTTCAAGGATGTCGAGGAAGACGCTTGACGAGGCCACCTGTATTGTTCAGAACGCAGCATCGTCTTGATATTGAGTTTGAATGCACGGCAAAGCTCGGTCATCCATTCGCACCGGGTGCTTCTTTAGATAACTCTCACCTGATAGGCCCATATTCTCGCGCATCTAGTTAGTATTAAACTGCAGGTTTTCAGCTATACTTCTGACAGCAAAACAGCTATCAATGTTTTTGAATCACGAAAGAGAATAATAATAATAATAATATAATAATAATAATAATAATAGTAATAATAATAAAGCATTTATTGCCCAACAGTATAGGTGCCATCTGGAGAGCAATAGTACAATGGTTTAATTTACACAGTCTGTGTGCCATAAAGTGAAACAAAAAAAACACACAGAAAAGAAGAAGGCGCATTTAATAGGGAGAAAAGAAACTATAAATATGATTAATAGATATTAGGAAAACAGAATATACTCGTATATACATACGTATCCATATACACATACATACACACCTATACACACATATATACATATATCTAGCTATATCATGTAATGTTCACATATAAATATATAACAAACGAAAACCTCAAGAGAAAGGCGTAAAAGAAGTCCAAGATGTGAACGTATAGCAGTTCGTAATTCCTGATATCCACAACAGAAGATATCACAAAAGCTCACAATCCTATTCGCATTATTGTACATAAAGTTTATTGGTGCTTTAGATAGAAGATTTGTCTGCGCCCTCTTGCAGAAAAAGAAACTTTATATTTAGATGTCAATCTAGGTACCAGGAAATTAATTTGCGATAGCAAAACAGGACAGTCGATGTTACCATGCTGTAATTTGTATATAAATATGATGGACGCCTGCTCTCTGCGCTTCTCCAAAGAAGGGACGAAAAATCTATCCAATAATAGTGAGTAGTCATCGACACCATCACTCCTATAGCATAGATATTTTAGAAATTTCTTTTGCACTTTTTCAACATTATTTTTGTATAGTTCATAGATAGAATAATTGCACCGTATTCTAATTTACTTATAACAAGCACTGAAAATAACTTAATAAGCGTTGTGTTATTGAGATTTCTACAATTTCTGATAATAAAGCCATATTTGCGATAAGCATTAAGTACTTATAATTTCACTGATGTGGTAGTTAAAATAGAACTAACAATCGAAATAGACGCCCAAGTCTTTGAATGTTTCACACCTTTCCAATATAAAATCATTTATTTTGTATGGGTAAGTTAAACATTTGGCTTTCCGGGTGAAGGTCAAAATGCGGCATTTAGAATTGTTCAAATACAAATTGTTATTAACAAAAAAGGCATATTGATCGCTTATGTCAATTTACTAAATGCCTGCAATTTTCACTAAGCTTAAGGAAACCTTTTTTATCCGAAGCCATTTATATTCTTGTGTCGGCGGCTTTTAATTTTACAATCGCATAATCTTCTTGCCACAGGCATGATGATACTACCGCCAAGAATTAATTTCATATTAAGAGCTTTTAGATGAATTAGGCTAGTAAAACTGAGAGTTTCCAGTACACAAGTATCCTTAATATCTACTGGAAAAGTCCATCAGCAATTCAGTTCCCGTAAGAATTTACTTACCTTTTACTCAAAACCACTATTAGTGTCAAGTCGTGCACTTTCACCAAAATTTGGATACGTTATATGCTTGGGAGCGAATGCAAGTTTCAGTATTATATCAGGCTGGACTCACGTTTTAATGGTGGCTATTTCTTTTATACTCCAACTACCATGAAGGCCTGAGGCCTAAGCACCCATGGGGTACCGTGGGGCTATAGGGGGATACAGGGGAAAGGGGGAACGCCACACGGACTCTGGCGAGGGAACACGTGTGCACACATTCTGGTCCCGCCTACGAGATCCGCCGGATGGTACCTCTGCGTTCGACAGTCAGAGACCGTCTACCACCTACTATCTCATATTTCCACGATAAGTTTCGTCTGCATATTCATTTAATTTCAGGGAAGTTCTATTTGTACTCTCATGATTCGTTTTCCATATTCGCTTATACCAAGGAATGGTTTTTAATTTCTGTGTTATCTTAATTATCAGTTATCATAACAAACATATTCAATATTTTGATTTTCGTGTATGAAGCTTCCCATCATTTTGCGTACCTAACGCGCCTTATGATTTCAAGGTGCAGCCAAATGACATTTTTATAAGAATATAAATTTCAGCGTAGAACATAAGTTTTTGAAATGCTTTTTAGTTATCGTACTTCTATGAAGCTAGGGGTATCGAGTTAGTCATCTTGACTCACCTACCCTAACCTGTAATCATTTTCCCTGAAGACGCCCGAGGCGCGGCAACACTGCAAACGACGTCGCGGTGTCTCAGGGTGCGTGGGCGCGGGCGCAGACAGCCGCCCAATTCAGACAGAGCCTTTTGCACAGTTTAGCACAGTCTGATCCACCACTCTGTTGCTCCATTTTGCACGTATGCTGACGTATTTATGTAGAGTCGTTCAGTGGTGGTGTGAAAATTCACTCCTTTCGTGTTAAACAATGGCGATTCAGGTCGCTGTTGTTTCCGGCAGTGTTTTCGTTCTTATCGCAGTCCTCTTGACACTATGTAGGTATCAAATTAATATTTTATATCACACCTTTGTTCTTGTAAAACCCTAAGGATGACATATGTGTCCTGTGTCGTTGCTGTATGCTTTTATTCTTATCAATGCTTGAACAAGGTTCTTTTTCCAGTAAGCACATTTTGCATATTACGGCGGCAAGCTTATACATATTATTTTTTTAAGAATACCATTGAAAACAGAGTCAATAACTACGATTTTTTATTGTTTTTTTCTTACAGTTTCTTTCCTTAAGGGTACGTCCTTGTAATAAGCAAAACTTGTACACATTGTACATTTCATATTTTCTAGTCCAAGGCTGGGACATGTTGCATATTAATTTGCGTTAACTTCTGAACCTTCCGTTGATTCACTATGCTGCGTACACTAGTCGATTGCATTCATTAAAAGAATGTTGATGGCACTTTCGATGCTGCGCCCATCACCACAAACAAAATGTTCTCCATTCAGGAACACAAAACGTCTTGAGGCTATGACCTTGATTTCAAAGAAATTATATTTGGTGATAATATGCTACGAAAATAAAGAGATATTTTATGTTGGAGATTCAATACTTTGCATCAAGGTTCCTAGTGTGGACTCGGGCAAAGTGAGCCCTATAAGCTTTCTGTATTTTTGCAGAAATGTTAATTAGTATATAATTTAGGAAGATATTTCAAATAATTATTTATTCTTCTTCAAAAAATAAACAATAACTTCTAGTTGCACCTATGGTGATAAAAAACAAAATGGTCAAATCATTCACATTGCCCGGACTAACAAGGTAAAGTGAATACATATCACGAATAGTACGGAAATTAATTTCATACAAAAAATATCATATATCCTAAATAGAACAATCTCAAGTGTTCTCGAATTCTGAAGATTCTTCATGACATCACTGACTATTATATGGAGGTTGATTTTATCAAAGTTTTGCACAAACTAATGGAGGTTTTTTCAACAGAATCTCTGATTTGTATTTTGTTCATATTGATGTATCATCTGCATCATAAATATATAAATTCACTAACAACAAAACTAAGGATAGGGACGAGCACATTATCCACTTTGTTCTTTAAACATACATTAGATTTCTCAAATAGATAGTACAAAACTGCTGAACACATATCATGCTAAATCAACCTTCCCGTTAAACAAACACATTTTCTTGTCTGGTAGCAAAATAAACATGTGGATTCCGGAACTATACCGGGTGGTTCTCCAAGGTGGCTCACCCTTATAACTTTTTTATTATTGAAGATAGAAAAACGAAATTTGGAGGTTACGTATTATAGATGAATTTACATTTTTTGACATATTCACTTGATTCGACGTACTTCCGGTTTGACCGGAAACGACTCCAACTTTTGATTGTTACATGGGACACCCTATATATTTCAATTATTTCGATCGAGAATGACATTATGAATTCAACAACGCCTCATCATTTTTATTTCAACTTTCATGTTTCGATCTAGAATGCCATGGATCCTGTAAATCGCTTCAATTTTGATCAAGTAACACGGGAAAAATACGATTTTGAGGCGAACGACCTTACAGTCGTTTAAAAGGTTTACTAAACGTTACAAACACTAATTTTGCTTGATTTCTTCAACTAGAAAGAGGATGGCTCGTCGGCTCTTTCTAAAAGCTACTACACACAAGCCGGCGGCAATACAAGCCGCCAAGCATCATTCCGGTTGTGACAGTCACATAGAACGCTAGTGAAGTGCAACACACAAACCGCACAACACTACCTCTCGAATGCCAGGAAGAAAGTGACGCCGGCAAGCCGCGTAACCCGCCGGCACACCCCGGCGGCTCCTTTGCGCGGCAAGGCCGGCGGCTTTGTATGCCGCCGGGTGCACGGAGGCTTAGCCGGCGGCCCTGCCGCCGGCACTGTGTGTAGCAGCCTTAAGACACCATTTTCTTGCGAATAATTTGACACTACACACTCTTATTTTATTTTCACCATTTTTTGAATAATTGTAAGAAAAAATCTTGTCTCACTAACAAATGATACGTATCGGTATACCTATGCACTAAGTCCTATTATTCTAGTTATCCACGACAAACAATTTGTGTTGCTCTCAAAATACAAAATGTGCAACGAACCAGAGGAAAATGCGAATAACTTTATCGTCAGTAAAGAAAAAGACATAGACGTGTTGGCCTAAGTTGGAGTGAACTATTCAAATGAGTCAAATACGTATCCTGTCTTTACTATAACAAGAAATAAAATTAAAAAATTAAGGCTCTAAGTGTTCAAAATGGCGTCCTCATTGATCACGGCAAAGTTCAACTTTAACAATTGTTGCTTGCACCACATTGATTAACTGTTCCGCAGTGATGTACCGGAATGCCGCCCTTACTTTGTGCTCCAGTTCTTTTTGAGTAGCTAACGTAGTTTTATGCACCTGATTTTTAACTAACCCCAAAGAAAAAAAATATGGCAACTTAAGGATGTACTCGGAGGCCATTGAATAGGTCCATTAGTCCAATCCGCTTTTCTGGGAAGGTGTCATTCTGATGTTCTCTTATCGCATGAGAATTGTTAGGTGGTGCCCCATCTTGTTCAAAATAGATGTCAACTTGGTTAGCCAGTGGCAATCCTTCAATAAAACTATTTATTGTCAAAACTGATAGTATTTTTAATAACCTAAATCAAATCCAGGCGAATAACCGAATGAAAATGGTATTTACCATTTCGGATTGGTATTTACCAATCCGTTCAAGCAAGTATGGTTGTCAGTTGGGTTTAAAGTCCGTGACGTCATCAATCATCTATTACATGACATAGCTTTTACAGTAAAATTGTGGTATTTACCCAACTCAGGAGTAGTTTTATATTTCTGGTTATTATTTGAAATGTGACCAGTTAGAATTTTGGCGGGTATTGGATATTTTTGTTGTACTTTAGCTTCGTTTTTGGGAAACTTGATATATGTTACTTCAGTTTTAGCATCAAGTAGAGCTGCTTATTAGTTATACTCATTACTGTCATTTCAATAAATGTTTTCTTTGACTTGGGGAAAAGTTTAAAGAATTGAAAGTTATCATAGCTACAAAGCCATGGTTTCACGATTAAAATTTTGGACGCCATATCTTTTATTTTCACGACAAACTTGTTTGAAATTGAGAGATTTTCCCAAGTAATTTAACACCTGAACAATATTTTCCGAAAAAAAAAACATTTCTTCCAGTAATAGTATGAAAGGTTTCTTTTTTCCATACCACTGTTATAGACGAAAAAGCACCGATGATTAAGCAATAATGCAACAAAACTGCGGTTAAAACCAACCCGTTCAAGCGATCTGAGTAACTGACGCCATCAACTCGTGTCATCTTAAACCACATTATAACCGCGGTATATAACACAGACATTTTGGTTAGTCAGTGTCTTTAAATTTTGACAGAATCGACTTCTACCATTTTCACTGGTTCTGTGTACCAAGTTCAATATACTCACTCATTCGTAAAGCCTTTTTTAAACGAGATTATGTAAGAAAATCTGAATAAGAATATTTTTTCCATAAGAAGCATTTGAATAGGTTTGAAGTATGTACTCCTAGTTTTTAAGAACTTTTAGATTACTTAAAACCCCGCGCAAGACACTATCTTTTTGTGGTATTTCTTTTTGAATTTATTCAAGTTGTATAAATATTGTGAATAAATTATTGTTATTGCCCAGACTAATATTTTTGCATGTCTCCTATTACACATTTTAAATACCGGAGCTTATATAGCTTAAAATCATTTCTCTCCCTAGGTTCGGCAATCAACCTAAACCAGCCTACTTCAAAGCCTAAGCACATCAAGTTAGCTCCTTCAACAGCATCGCCAGGTGATGGAGGAGCATCAACACCGAAGCAAGATGACTCAGGGGTGGCCATCTATCGTTTTATAAACAGCCACACTGGAACCACTTGTATACTCATGAAGACTGACGCTGTTGTAGAGGTGAGCATCAGCTAAAATATTGTTACGAATGGCTTTTTGACTTGACAATGCAGTCAAAATGAAAATTAGGTTTTGGGTTGAAATGTCAAAAATACCACGTATATGTCAGATTTCTCTAAAAGGGAATACCACAAAAGTACGTCATAAAAATATTGTAGGGAATACAATTATCTATAAAATTGTTCAAGTACAATTGTGACCTGCGGACTCGCAGATACTATTCTGCTCTTGTACGGCATCTACCGTTCAGTATGAACATATATGTAGAAGCATTGATGTATGCAATTTAGGTATACACACCACTTATACAGTTTGTGCCAAAACAGTGACTTCTATAAAAATGCATTGCATGGGCAACCACACATTTGTGTGCAGATCAACTGAACGCGGAATGCTTGAAAACTCAAAAAAGAAGGTATTATTATTGATCCGTATCATTCAAACACATACAGGTCTGCTTGAGCTGCGCTCAAAGTGAACGAAAGACGAGTCGCACTTTCAGAAAAAAAAATACCCACTTCAAAATTGCTCCGGGCCTTCAATATGTTATTACAATTGATAGATCGAAAGTCCTCATCGATCCTTGGAGCACAAAATTTTCTATTAGAGGATACATGTCAAAATTACCATTTTTCATAATTCTTTGGGACAGTACGAGTAAGGGGCCGTTCAAGTATTACGTAAGCAGATTTATTACAATTATTTACCACCCATCCCCCTTGTCAGCAAAAGTAAGCAAAGCTCTAACCCCCTTCCCCCATGCTCACGTAAACATTTGTCAATTAATGTATTGTTTTTTTTAATATTATAATTATAACGTTATAATTATAATTTGAAAAATAAGAAAATAGATTTAGGATAGAGATTATATTTTACTGATACGGTATTCAACATAGAGTAAAGGAGAAAAATATTATATGTTACTAACATAACAAGCTTATTTTAAATTTTTGGTACATATATTAAATTCAAATTAACAGTCTTCAGTCCATGAAACCCGAATCCATGATTCTAAGTTTTGTGTGTTGTGAGTTTGCTCGCTTTCATCGGATTTTGGAATGTCTACGTCGTTCTCATCGAGCCATTCAACATCATGGTGCTCTAAATTTTGAATAATGCACATCAGTTCATTAGCACGACGAGCAGCGACTCTTACAGGTCTAACTTTCCTATCAGTGTGCGTGTTTACTTTTTTATGGATATTTTCGATGTGACGATTTAGTGACTTGACGGAAGCATGATAAAGACCAAAGGTTTTGCATGTTCGACTTGATAGCCTCAATTTTACCGTCGGACAAAAATAATCGTAGGGCATTTGCAAGAAATCTTTGAGTTAAGCACTTAAGCATAGAGCTAAATTGACTGGAAGATTAAGAAATTGCCCTCCTTCATCCAAAACCAAGTCATCAACTGTTTGTTTTACTTTTACAGGTGGTGGAAGAAACCTATTGTCTAGTAATCTAAATAGGCCACTTCTTGGACGACAGCATTCTGTATTTCTACATTTGCACATGTTCTGAATACCATTTAATGTCTGGAAAATCAGGAAGATCTTGTTCACCTGTCCCGACATATTTTGCATTAACATTATAGCCATCAATTTCCATTGAACTCCATACTTCAGCTAATACATTTCCTGCAAATTCGAAATTAGATCTTTCTAAACGTTCATCAATTGTAACGCCACGTTCATCCAAATGAGACCCAATATGGTCATGAGGCAATATTAAACCAGCCAGTTCCCGACTAAGAGGAGCCATTCTGCGCTCTACTCTGTTATTCGCACTTCTTCCAGGAGCATTGGTAGCTAAAAACAATGCATCGAGATCATGTCGCTTGAAGTGTTGTATAGCAAACTTTTTGATAACGTGGATTTTCATCTGGCCCTCCATCAACCGTCACGATTACCACTGGTTTTACTAGTCCATGGTCAGTTTTAGCTAATGGTCGAAACTCTTCAAGTTCGAGAAGCGTCTCGAAATCCTGAGCATGAGTATTAGCAGTAGATGAACTATGCTTTCCACTTCGAATAGCGATGAATGTTGGTCCAGAATATCTAGGCAATTTGATTCTATATTCCATGTGCCTTAGAAGAGGTGCTTGCTTATTTGCCGCAGTTACGCCAATAGGGACTCGAGCTTTATCATCTTGAGATATGAAAAATACGTGATCTGGTCCAAGTATGGATGCTATGTTCTCTAAATAATGGATTGATGTTTCAGCGAACTTGTTAAGTGGCTCTTGTGGTCATCAGTTTGAGCCCGAATGAGCTTAACAGGGACTGTCGATACATGTCTTCGTCCCTCTGCATAATTAGATTTTCTGGGAATCAAATGAAGATATGTCCCACTGCGACTAGTGTCAAATCCTATTTTATGTAATTCTTGTGTGAGTTCATCAAGAGTTTTTAAGCTGCGAATTGATTCCGTTCGTCTTCTATCATCTGCTGCACTCCCAAATAAAGCTATATCCGCGATTGTTTTCAATAGTGAATCTTGATTGCTTTCAAGATTAGGACGTCCCACTGAATCCCTCAGAGATAGTATTTTTTTTATTTCTGGATTTTCATGACAAATATCTTCTAACTTTCTTTTCATACCATCCCTGTGTTTCTTCTGGGCAACTGCGTTTTGAACCTTCCTGTTTAGAGACTGTTCTGCTGTTTTTATTTCCTCGCGCAAAATCATTCAGATTTTTTTCGAGTAGAGCAATCTTATTTTTCGTAGCTTCCTGAGAAGGTTTTGCTCTCTGTTTATCTGTATTTTCATTAATTTCTCATTGCTGTTGTGATTCATTACCAGGTTTTATTTTATCTTCTTCCTCTTTTTTAATATTTGAAGCTGACTGTATAATTTGTGTTTTTTCTTTAGGTTATTAAGCTACTTAAATACAAAGTATGGCAATATATATGGTAAATACAAAACCCTATGGCTTTAAATCTAATATGTTTAAACGAGCAATTCGTTCCGGTCACAAAATACAGGGTGTTAGTTTTCTGTATATATGTATAAAGCTAACATACTGTACTTTGTGACCAATTGACGGAATCAATCATGAAAAATATGTCTATAATATGTATAATGAATATTACCTCTATACTTTAAGAGAGGCCATAATATTTTCTAATCAGTAAAGAGAAACTTTTTGGCTATTTCTAATATTTCTAGTACTCATAGGCACCTGAAATGATTTTGTCACTCACCTTAGAAAAAAAAATTAGTAGATTGGATTTATTCTTAGTCGCCGCTTGCAATTCTTCTTCGATTCTCTTAGATACAATAATATCTAGTTCCTTGTCGGATTTTGCTTGTAATTTATAATTTCGCCACACTTCGTTAACTAACTTTTATACATTTTGTACTTTCGTACTTGTATGAGATTTTTTAAAACATTCAAACAATTTTTGGTATAACTTGGATTTGTCTATGTGAAACGACATCTTATTTAAACACACTTGGCTAATGGAATCAATGGTAACACAAATGTTAACTTACTTTACTATGCTTACAATACGTCTACTCGCTATAGTATCCGAACGAAACAATACACTGACAGAGGAAATTTAGACAAGTGAACACCGCGCGGTAATTCCCCTACTCGGTTCTAAAGCGAGTAGGGGAATTACCGCGCGCTGTTCACCTAACGTTTGCATTATTTGCGGGAATCCCCGAAAATGCGTTTCGTTTTCAAGCAAAGACAATGTGAGGGTTGCCATTCGTGTAAAAAAGTAAATAACTACCGATGACGTAATCATCATCTAGACTCCCCTACCCCCCATGTCATCCAAAATAAGCAAAGCATATGTTATAAATTTGTAGATATAGAAGAAAATCGATTGTCTTCACGACACTGTTGAAAACGTTACAAAAAGTATTCCTAAAAATGCCTCATAAACGACAAGTTATATGGAAACAGTACCTGTTCTACAACCTTTTATGATGACTAGCACAAAAAATATCGTACAATATTTTCATTACATTTGATCGCAAGTGCGGAAGTACGTTTGCGTTAAATGTATCAAAATAAAGGCCAATAAAGCTTTTTAAGCCTTTTAGCGCGTACACGCCCAACCGGTAGCTTAGATCCTATAGGATCTATAGAACTTATAAACCGCGACTTGCGCCTCGAGGATCGATGAGGACTTTTGATATATTAATTGCAATAACATATTGAAGACCGGAATCAATTTTCAAGTGGCCAAGTGGGCAAAATTTTATTCCGAAAATATGACTTAAGTTTTGTTCATTTTTGAGCAGGCCAGGATATGTTTGAATGGTACGAATCAATATTATTTCCTTTATTTGTGTTTTCAAGAATTTCGCTTAAAATTGTTCTGTATACAAACGTTTGTTTACTCATGGAATGGATTTGTTGAAGAACCACTGATTTTTTTTGAGACACCCTTTTATAGAAACTTGCATTTTATGTAACCTGTCTAGGAAGGGGGGGGGGGGTTACGCAGCCGTGGTCACACCATTTATGTTCAGGAAGATCGTATCTTCGTATCTTCAGGGAGGATTATCAGTGATTAAAAATCGAAACCGGTCAGGGGCGGCCGGTAATTCTACGCACCTAATAGCCATATTTCATGCATCATAGGTTTCCCCATATATTTGTCCTTATAACTTAGAATGATAGAGAAATGATAGAGGTGTTTATTTCTTTAGAACTTTGTAACGCAGCCTAGGTAAGACTTAAATGGCAAAATTCAGCTTAAGCTACTCTTACATTTAACCATAAAAGTCACTAGCATTGGTTAATCATAATGAAATGTTATTCACAACATATTTACATTTCCAGTAATAAATCATTACTGGAAATGTAAATCATTACTGAAACCTGCCATACTTTCCAAAGCAAAGTACACCAGATAGCCGAAAAGCAAAAAAGTGGTACCAAATTTTGTGAAAAAACTCGTAATTCCCAATTTGTTTACCAATTTCAATCCTGTCTGATACGTAAATAAATTTTGGTACTAAGTTTCGTACGAAATCATGTGC